GAAACTGCGTGCCATAGAGGTCCGGTCACAGTCGAGTAAGAATCATTAGTATGGCGCTGAAAGTGTATGACTTCTGCAAACTTTTTATCGCAAACATTATAAGTAATAACAGTACTTGATATAAGGTTCTGTAAAGCTAGTAATAGAACTAACACTTTTAACCTAAGGAAGAAGTGTTGAGTAAGGCAAACATTTACCGGTTGAGATACCGATTCCTTGCAATGTTCGCTCGGTCTGCCGAAAAACCGGCACATCGTCTAGGGCTAGATCAAGCAGTAATGGAAGCTCGTTACACCTATCCCGAATATATAAGCGAGGAAGCTGCCCTGCGGATCTCGGAGCAGACTGACCCCGATATGGCGATACCCTCAAGCTCAGTACTGCCTAAGGGCGATTGGCTGAGAGGCCCGCCAATTGCAGGAAAAGGCAAAGCTCGATGCGATGTCGACCGTGTCCAAAATTTTTCTTCGTCGTACTGATGGCCGTTTCCACGACCATAGTCAAGTAACTGTTCATGTGTCTGTCACTCTGACCGTTGCTTGAAGATGAAGACGGAGAGCTCGGGAATATCTCCAAACATACGAATATATTCGAGTGCAATGTCGGCATATACAATAACCTGTTGATTGTAACTGCAAGGGTTTTTGCATCATAAATTTCCAGTCAGACCTACTAATGCGGCCACAATAATATATTCAGACGCTTCTGGACTCATTCGTCTCATCTCCAGCGCCCAAAATCGCAACGCGTGATCGTCGCCAGAGCACCTAGTACCGTCACTGCGATAACTGGATTGTGGCTAAGCGGTGTATCCAGCGGGTATGTCACAGTCATTATGAATCACAATTCCCAGGATTACTATCCCCTCCTACCAGTACGGAGTAGGGATTGATAGATAGAGCGATAGGGGTCGACGTTTAAGAAATAAAGCGTAAGCCACGCTCTATCAAGGAAGTAATTTTCCTGTTATGATCTACAGTGTAACTAGCGGGCAAGGTATGTGCAGACACGGCTCGGAATGGCAGGGGTTCCTCCGGAACCCACGGGCCAGCCGCCACACGGGAGACCCCATATTTGCCCCGAAATTACAGAATTTAAAATGCGATTCTGATACGTTCTTCGTCCTACTCTTCTCCACTGATCAACCAAAATCTTCTCTTGTCGTTGGTCTCGCAATATTGACCACACGCTATTTTGAACTGATCAGGTTAGTCTCTTAACAATGGCCAATAACCATGTTCAATGAACTTAACAGATGTACGTAGTCGACAGATGTCCTTCTGTTCTCAGTAAGGCTTCGGGATGAACATCTCAATTGGGGATAGCGAAACGGTTTCTCGGCTGTTAAGCTTGTCGCCTGAACAGTCTTGAACAATGACTTGATTCCCTGCGATCTCCGCGCTTCCCGCGTGTCACCGCTCGATCCCTTTTCACTTCAACCTGCAGAGCGTTGGAAATCATGGCGTCCATCGATACCTCGTTACTTACCGACTTAAGCGAGGAATATGATTATGTCGTTGTTGGTGGCGGGACTTCGGGCTTGGTGGTAGCCAGTCGGTTGACCGAAGATCCCTCATGCAGCGTTCTCGTTCTCGAAGCAGGAGCAAACCGAGTTGATGACCCACGAATTGCTGCTCCTGGTCTGGCAGCAACAACCTATTTTGACCCTGACTTTGACTGGTGCATCACCAGCACACCTCAGGTATGCAGTTACCCTGCCTCGTTTCACGTGCACGGTGCTGTTCAATCCCGCTGACTTGTTGATAGAAAGGCCTCAATGGACGATGCCTTGCCGAACCCCGCGGACGAACACTTGGTGGATCCTCAGCAATCAACCTTGGAATGGCTATTTACCCTAGTCAAACCGATATCAACCGCTGGGAGAAACTTGGCAACGGCGGTTGGAACTGGGATTCGGTGTCACAATATTTGAAAAAGTCGCAAACTTTCACCCCGCCCTCTGCCGAGATCAAAGAGCAGCTTTCATTGGATTATATCGATCCGTCTGTTCAGGGTGAATCAGGCCCACTCCAAGTCTCTTTTGGTACGGGGCCGTTCCCTAGCTTCCTTGAAGCATGGCCCAAGGTATTCCAAACTCTCAATCACCAGACTAGCGGGGATCCAATGTCGGGAATTGCCAAGGGAGCGTTCTGCAACCCAGGTACTGTCCATCCGACGACCAGAACCCGTAGTCATGCTGGCGTGACGTACTACAACTCGGAAGTTGCCAAGCGATCGAACTTGAGGGTGATCACCGAAGCTTTTGTGCATAAGATTCATTTGGAGAAAGAGGGTCCACAGGATGCCAGGGCCACCGGTGTGCAGTTTACCGGCAAGGATGGAATTCAGAAATCTGTTTCCGCCAAGCGAGAGGTTATTATGGCTGCGGGCGCGATCAAGACCCCCCATCTCCTCGAACTATCTGGTATTGGTGACGCCGCTCTTCTTCATTCCCACGGAATTGAACCGATTATCGAAAACTCCAATGTTGGAGAAAACCTCCAGGAGCACGGGTTTGTTCCGTTCAGCTGGGAGGTTGCGGAAGGGCAGATGACCGGAGAGGCTCTCCGGAATCCCGAGATCGCTGGAGCAGCCATGGCGGCTTGGCAGCAATCAGGGGCTGGACCACTCGGTCTTTGTTCACTGGCATCTGCATACATGACTCTACCGGAGCTTGCAGATGGTGAGCTGAAAAGGCTTTTTGATGAATACCTCCAAGACCAAAACCTATCACCAGGATTAAAGGCCCAATATCAACTACTGCAGCAGATGTTGGAGGATGAGACTGAGCCTAGTGCACAGTACACCCTGGCACCTTTCCAAATTCTCCCTGACAAGGGCCCAAGCCCAAAGGGAATTTTTGGCATGACGGAGCCAGAGAACTTTGTTAGTATCGTTGCCGTGCTCAACCGACCATTTTCTCGCGGAACTGTCCATCTCGCCTCCTCAGATGCGAAAGAGAACCCCAAATTCGATCCCGGGTTTTTCTCACACCCTCTTGATTTGGAGCTTCACGCGCGCCATGTTCGCTGGTTGGAAACTCTCGCTTGGACCGAGCCTATGGCTTCTCTCTTGAAATCCGACGGTCGGCGCCTGCAAAACTCATCTCGCGACATAACTCTTGAGACCGCCCGCGATCTAGCTCGCGAGAGAATCGTTTGTCACTACCATGTAGTAGGCTCCACTGCCATGATGCCTCGTGAAAGGGGTGGTGTTGTGGATTCTCGACTGAAGGTTTACGGCACTCAAAACCTACGCGTGGTCGATGCTGGTATCTTCCCTTTGATTCCGCGGGGAAATATTCAGGCTACTGTCTTTGCAGTCGCCGAGAAGGCAGCTGCAATTATTGCTGCTGATTCCAAGGTTTGAACTTCTTCGCATAGACTCAAATAGAAATAGAAAGCGTCGTTCATTCAACTATTTTCTTTAAAACCCAACTGGAGGATTGTTACTCCCTAAGCCTGCTCTCGGTGTCCTCTTCCATGGTTCGTATAGCTTAATGTGATCATCAGGAACGATGAGTTCATAATTAATAATGATTGTAAGTTCGTGTGCCCGCCTACGAACTGCCCATTCTCGACATCGACACCGATTCCCCACCATCCATCTCCGCATCCAATCCTACAGACTTGTTTAGCCTTACAAGGCCCACCTGTTCACCTCTACCAATCTACATTTATTTCTGGCGATCGACAGTACCCTACTCGGAGGGCTGAGCCCGCACGTCGACCGACCGAGCTGACCCAACTCTCTGGGACTCGCTTATGGACTATAGATTCCCTCTGAGATGTCGTCGGGCAGTCTAAGTCGTCTGAGAGCAACTAGGTACGTTGATGTCAGTAAAAGGCATATTTAATGCATTCGATAAAGGATACTCGTTCTGATAGAACGCTTACCTCAAACAGCCCTAGAAAAAATGTAGCAGAGAATATCCTCTCTTTACATCACATTGCTGTTTCCCAGACTTGTCCGCAAAAAACCCATTGACTTATGATAAGAGGTCATGGCATGTACATAGGAGGATTTCTCTCCCTGTAATGCGTGTCCACCTGTACATCGATTGGCATATAAAGTACCAATCGCTATCACCACATCGTACAGGACCGGGGAAGTCGAAATCAGAGGAGTCAGGTCCGGAACTATCGACGAGAAGCTCGTCGTGAACATGTTCTGCTGAATAAAAGCGGCAAAATAATCAAGCAGGCGGGTATCCTTATCCCTCCCGATAGAGTGAAGTGGGCGAACCCCCGGAGCTGCAGCTATTTGCAACAGCCACGCCCTTCTGAGCAGAACTTCTGTGTCCTCCTCTAAAATCATTTTGCTGGGTTTTGTTGACAAACATAGTCATATCCTGTCCTGATTGCTGCTGGGCAACGCACACGGTGTTTTGTCGAATACAGAGAGCACATGGAATTCCCCCTTCACACTAGCAAGGATTAGCTGCACTAGTCTCATGAACTTTAAGTTTCACACCACAGACCTTGATGCATCGTTTAGCGCAGCCGAGGCAGCGCGTCACCCGCCTTCGCTTGTCTAGGGGGCCGACCATTCTCCCCTGCGACGTTGTTGATGATGACATGATCTGGAAAGATGCTCTGGCAAACTCCCAAATAGTGCATATTCCTGATGAACACTATCACGAAAGTGCATACATTAGAGCGAGACCTGTCTGGGCTGTGGGCAGGCAACGATGTGCCAGATGGCGCTAACCTGATTGGGAAGTAATATCGCGAGACAAGGCGCTACATGGCTTCAGATTCCACTTGATGACCAGTTTACATCCGATCAACTAACGCCCTATAGATTCCTATTCGGGAAACTTAGTTACCTCGGTAGGGCGAGAAGTTGCTACGGGTTATGTTAGCAGGCAGAATGCTCGTGTACCACTCCCCCTTCCCTCCGTAATATATAAAGGTCAGACAGTGCTCTGACTGTTGACTTTGGAATTCTATCGTCAACTTTCATCATCGACTTCCTCTATTGGTTTATCTTGGCTTATCATGCTTCTCATTTGTCGTCTCCTGCCCATCGTGGCTATGTCCATCTCTGCAGTGGTGATCCCCAGTCCACCCGGACAATACGACGTGTTCTACAACACGGCGAAAATGATCGAAAAGACCAGAGTCGACCCGTTTGATCCCAAGAACGGATCGCGTGCAGTGATGACTTCGGTCTTCGCCCCAACCCACTGCAAAATCGATCTCGAGAAGATAAACTACCTGCCCCCCGCAACAGCCGAATACTACTCTGACCTATACAGCGCGCTGGGACTTCCCAACGGGACTATCCAATCCATCTCGTTCCAAGCGTGCCCAGAGCCGCCGAAAGGCCGCCACCTCCAGTTTTCCGTTGTGATCTTCTCGCCTGCTCTTGGCACGACCCGCCTGTTCTACAATGCCATTGCACAGGCCGTCGCCAGCGCCGGGTATATCGTGGTGTCTATTGACCATCCCTATGATGCCGAGTTCCTCGAGTTTCCGGACGGAAGAGTCGTGACTGCCGCAAATATCACTGACGCGTAGGTCCCACTGGACGTCAACACCCGAGCGCGGAATGTGTCGTTCGTGCTGGATCAGCTGAGCACAAAGGCTGGAGTCGCAGCTCTACTCCCTGGAACAGGGGCTGCGGGTCTGAAGACTCGGCAGGTCGCGATGTACGGTCACTCAGTTGGGGGTGCGGCTGCTGCTGAAGCCATGCGTTTGGACTGTCGTGTTGTTGCCGGAGCGAACCTGGACGGGTCCATGTTTGGGCCGGTGGTTCAACAAGGTGTTCGGGGTCCATTCCTCCTGTTTGGACATGAAAATAAAACCAGACAACGGACTCATCGTGGGCAGAGTTCTGGTCGAGTCTGCGGGGTTGGAAGTTGGAGCTGGAACTTGCCCAGGGGCAACATTACGCATTCGCTGACTTGTCCTATCTGATGAAGCTGCTGGATGTTCCTGTTCAAAATGTACCGGCCCTGCAAAAGATGGTTGGAAATTTGGATGGTGCCAAGGCATTCGAAATTGTTCACCGAACTGTCACTGCTTTTTTTGGGATTTGGGCTCCGTCAAGCATCGTCGACTCCGCTTGAGGAGGTCATTTCGCAGTATCCGGAGGTATCGGTCTTTGCCCGAGGTAAAGAGAACAGATAACACATGTGATCAGTTTCGAATTATCTGAGAAGGTTTACTGATGCAGGAGAAGAAGGAGATAGGGAGAGACTGTGTAGATTATATGATCCAAGCAAAATGTAAACAGAATGAAGTTGAACTATTTCAAGTCTGAAAGACCCCAGAGTAATCGAAATATAAGTGCCTGATAGACGAGGTTGAGAATTTAGGCCAAACAAAACTACACATCATTTTTACGCCTTGAATCCTTTTTCTCTGCACAACTCTATTTCACAATTTTCCTTCCCTCATTCTTTTTTTTTCCTAAGCTTTTTTTTCGGCGTTCTCATTAAATTTCTTCGTCAGAATGTCTATTCTCGGATTCTCTGAACTTTACACAGGTACAGAAGTTACCTTTGCCACACCATCAGTCCAGAAGTGGGTTATCGAGGAGAAACTGACCGAAGATGTCCAACAAATGACAAAGTGGGAACTTGATGGTGGCGCTGGGCCTCCCTTTGCCGTGTTTAAATGTCTCTGTCACAGTGCGGCAGACAGCGACAAGAAGGCGTTCATGCGAATCTATTTCCAGGTTCTTATTGAAGGAACTGAGTACGAACGCCCCGAGGTTCGACAACGACAGGCCGCTGCACGAAAACATCGAGAACTAGACGTCCTGAAGGCTCTGCAACTACGACAGTGTCCCGTGGTACCGAGTCTCCTCGCCTATAAACAAGGAAAACAAGGCAATGATGGCCTGGTCCCAGATGGATACATTACACATATTGTGTGGGATATGGTCCCCGGAAAGTCACTGAACCAGGATAAAGTCTGGGATCCTACATCTGGTCCATTACGTGAGGCCGTCCGTGCGAAGTTCCGCGTTGTCTGGGAGTATTTTATAAGTCCCTATTCTACCAGTCCAGAGTAAAGCTAACAGACCTAAGGGAGTTGAGACGATATGGATGGGAGCCAGGTATGCCCGGGCTGGAGAACATCATATACGACGAGGCTACACAGACGATGTATGTGGTATCTTCCGTACACCTGGTGCTAAACAGAATAGGCTGACTATCCCTAGGCACATTGCAGGCTTCCGAGAATCTGCCTCCCTTGACCCCGAAGAAAAATTTACAGATATGACCTTTGTCGGCTGGGGCTTGGCTATACCACCTAGGAAGGCTGGTTGGGACAAGGACAGTACTAAGTGGACTTGGTGATCAACATGAATGTCCATTGCTTTAGCCAAAGTGCACAATTTCGATGATTCCAATCTTTGCTGCAATTCTAGAAGGTTAAGCTGATTTTCATATGTATTTTGTCAATAATCAATTAGAGAGGATGCGTGCTTAGCTCACATCGATGGGCGCAAACCATGTGACAGTCTAGAAGAAGGACAGGGTAGGCACCGGGGTGAGAATTGAGCCTTAGAGCTCTTAGGAATTTACACCGGACGACTTGAAACTGGAGTCTCCGTCCTTTTTCTTTCCCCACCCCTTCCTTGACAACAACCTAATACTCGAACTTGATCCCCTAACGTTGATCTCTCAGCATTGACTTCTTGCCGCTGATTCCTCGTCGTCAACCCCTCGAGCAACGTTGACTCCTCGACCAACATCGACTGCACAACGCGTCCTAACATTCCCTCCATCCTACATCCTACGTAAGCAACCCATACTGACTCGTAGTTTGGTATAGAGCACTATGGCCACAACACGGGTGCGTGCCAAACAGATTATTCAGGCCCCACTACCTCCCTTGAACGTTGGTACTTATAGGACCACCTCTTCTGCTATTCACAAGATGGAATATGTCGGGACTTTGAGCCCGTGGCCGAATTTTAAGAGCACAGTCGAAGCAATATACAATGCCCAAGCGTTCAGCCGCTGTATATGCGTCTTCCGTAAAACAAACTATCTTATAGGTAAGCACTCTACTCCGTACCGGTGATAGAGATGCGATACAATGGAGAATAACATGGAGAAAACACTGTATGTATTGACTGTCTCGCACTGACAGAGAGAGGAGGAAGGAAGGAAAGGAGATAGAATGAGTTTTGTATTTTACAGTACAAGGCTTAGATCAGAAACTCATATTTCACATCCGAGTCCAACAAACAATGAAAGAGTGTGTAAAGTGGTGATACCGATTTCCTGAAGTACTGTATCGGCATGCACCTGGGCAACCACTACCGGAATGAGCTATTATTGACGAAGTACATCGATGAAGACCTAGGAGCACCGAAAAATTCTATGCTGGCAGCTCTTGGTCTACATTACTTCAGGTACCAATGGTCCAATGCAAGAGTCTTAGAAGACCGTGCTACGGGGTAACTCAACAGACTTTGTGCATCCGACGGTAGTTGCATGCAACCACCAAACCAATAACATGAAAAGCGCCGCCAAGCACTGCAAACATATGCTAAAGCTGATGGGAATGACCCCAAATGTCAAAGGTCCCGGGGCTCAGTCTCTCTGGGAATCGACAGACGAAAACACTCACTCCAGTCAAGAGGGAGAGTGCTTCTGCGAGGTACCACCCAGCCCCAATTTCATTACTCGCACGCGTCCAACCCAAGTCAATCACACTTTGGAGGATAGGCAACATGGCAGAGATAGCGAGCTGGGAGAAGACACCTCCTCGCAGAGTCCTCATTTTGTTACCTCCACCGCCGGTGTCAAACAAAGCGAAGGCAGCGCCAATAGCGGAAAAAAGATTGAGCCCCCAGTACTCCCGCTGGATGAAGGGCCTGCAATAAAATGCGTAATATGTCATGGATGTACCAGCTTCAAGGGCGAGGAAGCAGATTCCGAGGATATCCAGTCTGCCCCAGAGATGGTGGATATTGTAAGAGTGGCTTCTTAGAGTGTGAAATCCAGCGCCGAGCTGAGGCCAAAGCAGATGGTTGCCGAGGCCGTAAAGGGCCCGAAAGCAAATACATCGCCGCGGTCGAAATTGAGGTCTTGAGAACGCGGGACAGTGTGATTAAGTTCAAATCCAACAGCAATGAAGGCCATTGAGCCCAGAAGATGGGTCCAGATGTTCATTGTTTCGATATGTAAACAACGCCACAGGCGCAATAATCGTTTGTAAGAATATGTGGGCATTGGATGGCCCTCCAAAATATAGTCATTATCACGCAGTCATCCTGGAATCAGCTCTTTTCTTCCAATAGTTGGCCGGTATGACTGATTGTCTGGCTTGGACGTGGCTGCCAAGCTCCCAGTCAACAATTGGGAGTCTTCGAGCGGGGCGATGGTATCGTGCGTCGGGTCATCTTTGCAGTCTTCCACGAGCATCTGAACGTGTGGTGATTTGGAGGAAGCCCAGGAAAATTCTGAAATATTTTTAGAGATGAAACGATCTTGGCGGGGTGCAACCTTTTCTCTCAAATCTCTAAGCGCCTCGTTCGCGGGCAACACGCGACTGTGGAACTCATCACACCGAATACGTGTCGCGATTGGCGGGCCAAAAATAGTCTCCTCGAGAGACAATAACCCTCCGTTTATCGCTGCATTGGCCGATTTGTTGTGGTGGTGTATCTCAGGGGCCTCAGATGCATGGCATATATCAACAAGTCGAATGAGTTTTGCTCATTTGAACCCGCAATTTTGGAATGCCCACGAATTACACAGAGCGAGATGCGGGACAAGTCAAAAACGGATACGCTCGCCAGACTGCTCAGCATGGCGTAGGCTACTTGGCTGATGATCCAACTCTTTGGTCGCTTCATTCTTAAGCTTCCGACCACTACGCTTGAACTATCCGCGGGTGCTATTGTGATTTGTACCTTTGGAGCCTTTATTTGTTGGATGCACAAACCAAGCGATGTACATACCGGCATTGTGCTTAGCATGGAAGTTAGCACGACCGAGATTCTCCTTGAAGCTGGTGATCTTGCCGCTCTACCTTACCGCCACGATTTTATCGCCAAGCAATCTTTCACTTGTAGTTACGATGTGATGCGGTTCTTTGGTCTACGTCTTGATGACCGCGAAAGGCCCTTGCGGCGCTTTCCAAATGACCGATTCCCGAATATCGGAACGTTTGAAAGATCCTCCCTGTTTTGTTGACCTCGGCATTCGCTTCTTTTCACCTCATAGGATGGTATTTTATCTTTCCTTCTCGAATTGAGCAGATTCTTTGGCGGATCTCAAGCTCTATTGTAAGTAACGGTTACAACCGTGCTATACTGGATCTTCGAAACAATAGCTGCTCAGCAGCGCTTTGGTAGGTGGGACAAGTATCTGATCTGGCTGCGGCTGAAAAAGCCACCATCACAGCCACAAATCGATGCGGAGGCCACTGTGGCGCGTCAGCATACTGTCAGTCGCTTAGACGCTTTTGAAAAAGATTAAAGGGAGGCAAAACCTATCTTACGTTGGGAAATTGGTATTATTCTTCCAATAATCTTCCTGTATGTTAGTGCTCGGGGATATATGATTGGTGGGGCTCTTACCATTTGTACTCGCAATGAGACATTTGTGTAGTGTACGAAAGCGAAAATGCGAATACTCAAACTACAGGACTGCGTAGCTGGATCTTAGTTATTATGTGATAGCAATCCATGTGGATCGTGACAGCGTGGACTTTCCACTAGGGTCTAGGAGTCGAACAGCGAAGAGGAAGGCAAGAAATACATTCGCACATCTTCTGGAATTATCAATATCTGGCATGACAACTTTAATCTGGATCGAGCTCAGGCCGCTTTGCTGGCAAGCATCTTTCTCTACGAGGCCGACTCAAAGTCGGCCAGCTAGGTGTGGATTGGTTCAGCGGTGCGCGTAGCCCAAGAGATAGAGCTGCAAATCGACTCCGGTCCCTGGCCTGCGGTCGACGGGGAGATACGAAAACGCGTATGGTGGGGCAATATGCCAGGCCGGGATGGATTATTCGCGCTCGAGATGGGGAAGCCGGCATCAATCAACGACCAATCCTGCAATGTTGATCTTCTATGCCCAGTGGCCGAACAATATGTCACACAGAGAGTAATGTTGTTATGAGAGCCGGTTTTTTGGATAGTTCATGAAACACGGTCAGAGATCTAGGGCTCGAAGTAGACAATAAACTTGACTAAATAATAAGAATAGCGCCTACTAATGAGAATGCAGTCCAGATAGCCGTGAGGACCCTAAGTTGAGGCAAACAGAACCTATATTCGGTTAGTTGATATAGACCAAATAATGACAGTGCAATACGTACTCTTCCGCACTAAGACCAATAAATCCACCCCAAAACAGCCATTGCGCAATCCAGAGAAGGAGCATGCTGATGATCGTAGCCGCATACAATCCCACAAATGATTTCTTGGAAACCCGGCCATCGTGGCCTTTCACAGAGTAAGTGCCATAGTCCGTGTGATCTCTTCCTTTGCTCTTTATCAACGGTGTTTCTTCTGGGTCCCTACCCTCGCTCCCCATCAACGGTGTTTCTTCTGAGCCCCTACTCTCCACTAACCCTGTGCAACATTCATCCAGGTGGTCCATCAGTTCCTCAATCTTCGATGTTGTCTGCTTGCCTCCCTGCCAGTTTGGTGTGTCCAAAACAGGTCTAGTCAACCTGCTCATCCTAATAGCCCGTATTACCTGAGCAATCACCACGCTAACTATGATAAGCCACGCGAGTGCTCCGGCATACATCATTTTTGCAGGTCCCCCCCTCTCCGCTCCGTCCATGCCTCCAAAGTAGAAATGGTGTTTTCGACCATAATGAACGGTCATAAGCAGGTAATATGCTGATAGAAACTGGAGGATCACTTCAGCATATAGCGAAGACCCGGCCGCGAAGAACTTCAAATCTCCAAAGGTTGGTACACCAATCAAAGAAATCGTCAGCCAAGTAGGCCGAGGCATTGAGCTCCAGAGAAGCATTAATTGGATCACGGGAACGTTCTCATAGCCAGGGGTTTGTTGAATAAGAAGAATATTGAACAGGTTTGCAAAGAGTTGTAGGGCGGCGATTAATGTTCCCTTGACAACCCATGGCCACGGCTGCGGGTTCCACGGAAGGCGGCGTGCGACTCGACGTATTATCCTTATTCTCTGGCTGAGAGCTACTCCAAGAAAAGTAGCTATATTGACTAGAGCAAAGCTTGTGAGTTTAGACTCATTCGAGGCACATTTTTCGGTTGCCCTTGCGTCTCCCAAAGAGGCGGTATAGGTAATGTCTGAATCGTTAAATGGCTTCAATTTCCAACCCCACGGAATCATGTCGAGGGTAGTCGGGACGGCTAATTGACGCCAATTATCTGGCAGACCGTGCCAGTCCTGCACATTGCCACAAAGATCATGGAGCCACTTGATATAGTCAATTCGTGTCTCAAATATCTGGCACGACCCTCCGCAGGAATCATAATTGATGTTGCGACAAAAACAAGCCCTGTCAACTGCGCGCTTGATTTTGCAGTAGCCACCGACCTCACAAGCATCGGTTGCACACTGATCAGTGAGCCCAATCACTTGCTCCGGCATATCCGTGACGCATTTGGGCCAGTGCCAATCTTCGATGGGAATGTACGCGAATTGGGTGGTTTTGAGTGTGTCCGCCCAGTTCTCGGGTAAGGATGTCGACCCACACGTGGCATAAATCCAGAGACGCTCCTTTGTGAAGTCTAGTTGTCCTGACCCTGAACAAGGTTCATTGTTGAGATCTATATTGAAGGTGTTGCAGAAGCAATCTTTGTCAAAATAGTCGCCATCGCCGATGCGATGCAGGACCAGATCGTAGATGCGACGCTGAACGAGATCGTAACCAACAGTTTCAAAATCTAGAGCGATCATAGAACGTAGCCTTTCACTATACTCCCAGGGACGAGCAGCGTTTCCGGTGTGTTGGGTAGTGCTTGTGAAACCGCAGGAGGCCATTACATGTCGGAATGGTTCCATCGATGAAGCGGAGACCGAGTCGCTCAGACATGTTGGTGCATTGTGAATCACGTTAACGGCTGCATACCCTTCAGCTAGGGAGTGTGGGGAGAGACTTTTCAGACCGCTCGCGTCGCCGACATCGATAAGCCACGTTCGACCTGTGATAATATGAACCCATTGATACAACTGCGCTTTGGCGAGAACCGATCGACCACAGTATGGGAGATAACTTTCGATAATGTCGGGGGAGAATGCAATGCTGAGGCAGCTGAGTTGAGTCAGCCATTGGTGGTGGGTGCAGATAAAAGCAAAGTGGGAGGTGCATCGTTTGCTGGTGCATTTCGTCATGGCACGCAGCCAGGTGGACTGATCTTGCTGGGCGATGCACTGTGGCATAGGAGCCAAATCTTCAGGATTGACCCATCCATTGCGGTTGTCTTGGGGCAACAAGATACCGTCCTTCCCATCATACTCAACGGTTGTGGTATGGATCGCTTCTGCGGGATTGATGTTGGTGGCAACGATAGATGGAGACTGGAGGAAGCTACCTTTCGCATCTGCCCCGTAAACTCCCATCAACGGCACAAGACATGTAGAGATTTTCATCTTGCCGGTATCAAGGCACCGAAGTAATGTGAACGAAACTGGGAAATGATATTTCGGTGCGGGGTTGGGCCACTAAGTATGCCACCCGTACTAGTCGAGGGCTGTACCTTGTAAGCGCCGTGCTGGTTTCAAATGTTCTTTTGAGTTTTTTTAGGCTCAAGAGTCAAGATACGGCTACCAAGCCCCAAGAATGTTTTTCTCTCACGAATTAAACTAATAATATTCCTTGGATATTCCACGATGGGTGTGATCGCGGAAAGCGGAAGCTTCAAAGGCGAAAGGTTTCGGCTCCGTCAGTTACACTTACACTCACCACACGATAGACTGAGGTTATTGAAAAAGCTCGGATAAGATCAACTGGAATTCGCGACCAGAAACCAACGTAGCGCGAGTGGGAGATCGTGCCGAGCGGCCTCAACGGCGCCGGGAGACCACAACCTGCTCAGCCACGATTACAAGTTTTGCAGTTAATGGTAATTGAATCGGGGATTCGTTATTGTCATTTAATCTCCCTTTTTCCTTTCTTCCCCCCAATACAGACATATTGATATTGCTTCCTCCTGGCCTTTCATCCCTCGCTCATCGATCTCATTCCTGGGCATCTTCGAGCCCAGACCTCCCGGGGAGCCACAGGCGACACTTTCAAGCCACCAGCACAGCTAACCAGCACAGCCCACCGAGGGACTAGGCCAACCTTCACCCTACTAAGCTTACCATCCTCCTGCCACCGAGGCAAACACAACCTTTATAAGTTATCGGCCATTTACCAACCTTCATCGACGTTCCCCAGACCGATTTACATGACTCGTGAACACAGTTTGGGAATTTTAAAGGGGCCAAATACTATTCTCCACTGGTGAGCGGGCTAGCACCAAAGAAGATTGCCCGCGCTATACTAATGCTATGCACTATGCCTGATACAAGTGAGTGCCCACCCGGTTTGAGAATCGTTAGTATCATCCTTTTGGGGCTTTCTCGTTGCAGGGATGTGGATTGAGAGATGAATGGATGGCGTCCCGTGGAAGAATGTTCTAAGATTAGGTGACCTTTGTCTAAGACTTCTCTACCTTTTTTTCTTTCTGCTTCCTGGCTTCTAAGGTTTTCAGTACAGACATCTTGATCTTGCGACCTCTTGGCCTTTGGCCAATATGTACACTCCTGTCATTAACGATGGAGATTTCTGCATGGGCAGGTCACCGTGCACATGTCCTCGTCATCGGTGTCACTCGGGGCACTCCATTAAACATTCGAGTCACGCCCGACCAAATGACCAACTTCATGGCCTATTCTGGCATTTAGGTCAAGTCACGCCGCTCACGGATAAGACTCGCGATTTCGATCACACTTCTTTGGAACCGCTGGGTTCTTTGGATATACACTTCGGCAAGGATTCGGGGCCTTTCCCGGTGCTGCTTCCCAGCAATGACGATGATCGGCTTTCAACTATACCCCGATTTACTGAACCTAGCGATCCGCTAAATCCACCCGCAGGATTCGCTGCAAACAACAGTCTATTCGGAGAACCGCCATTCGAGGCTGCTGATGTTCACTTGAACATTGATCATAGCTCTACTGCCAATCTGCATTCTCTCCTTGTAAGCCCGCCCCTGGAATCATGTGCAGAATCTGGTCCCATTACAAACTCTGATTTCTGCATGGACTATGCCCTTGGCTCTGATGATTCTGATGAGCCGATGTTGGATTACTCTACGCTTCCGAATCTTCTGTCCGCTTACAACTATAGCCACTCTTCATCTCTCTCTACTCCGCCTTTTGGCTCCGAGGGCTCACTGGGATTTAACCTAACAATACCGCCGCCTACAACGATGACATATGCTTGTCTCGCTGAATGCCGCCCCCCTTGCATTATCACTGCGACCCTAAATCTCCGCTTACTCCACATTCGCGAAAACAGTTGCTTTCTCTCAGAAATCGTCGCAGCAGCGGAGGCCAGAGTGCCAGTGGTCCTGAACCAGCACGTATGTCGGGGTCTGTCCTTAAAGACAACAAAGATGCTGGAATGTCAGTCTGCCGCATGCTACAATGCGGATGCGCTCTTCGTCCTCAGAATCCGGTTCTGTTAGCACTTCTCTGTTCTCGGCTCGTACCAAGTAGACTGGTACGTCACACTCACCAGATGCCAATGCCAATGCCAATGCCAACGCCCCTTCTACTGGATTGCCAGCAATCGCACATGACCGACTAGTGGGACATCTGTCAAAGGCGGTCGAAGCGGCTCAGAATGATTTAACTACGGCTTGGCGTGAACACCAGAACTTCAAAGATAAGAACATTTGACATAAGGATATAACCCATTTTTTGACACGAAACACAACGAACACATATTAACTCTTGTGTTGTGGAAATGTTCTTGGCATTCCACAAAGCGCCAGAGCCATGATGCCAGCACATCTCACCTTGTGAATATCATCCATCTCCGGAAACATGGCAAGCAGTGGAGAATCTACCAATTCAACAACATGCCATAAATCCATCAGCACATATCTCTTTAGAGAATAATTCCCTCAACATATCGCTTCCAAACCGGTCATTCATATCATCCCTTCTTGTAAACTCTGAAATCTCCTCTTTTCGATAAGTAAAGGCTTATATTATACCTTTAGCCCTGACTTATCAGATGTGAGTAGGTTCTTGCTCCTGGGCTTAGCTCATGTGCGACAGAGCGCGCCCATCTTTTTATATTCGCCGTAGAGCAATCAGAAGACCTGCGCTGGAAGTTTGTAACCACCAGGGACCTGTTCCTGAAACACGCCGTTGGGGTCGTATTCCTTGGTGGCAGCTCTGAGCTTAGCAATGTTATCCTCACCCCAGCTCTAGAGGACCCTCTATCAGATATTGGCGTAAGTGAGGTAGATGAAGTCTATCAGATGCCGATGAGACTTTAAGAGTGCGCGTTGCTTGTTCATAATGTCCTAAATCACTCGTTCGACTAGCACATCGTCTGCTTTGTTTGCATAGCCAGCAGTCATGTCAATCATGACATCGTCTGTCCTTTCGGGCGTCAGGCCGAACATGTTGGTGTCGTTAGTAACGGGATGAGGCTGAACAAAGAACTCCACGAATATGCTGTCCACATTCGCGATTTTGCTCACGCTCATCTCCCAGATCTTGAAAATCCCCATGTAGACATTGGCATCCAGGTTATGGAACAAAACTGTAAGCTAGAAGGCACTAAAGAAATAATTAGATTTGTGGAGCATGAAATGGTAGGGTGTTCGTTATTGTTACTAACCGTTGCTCGTGAGATGGGATATTCTGTCCTAACAGGTCCACGACATTGCCAGTAGTGTTGAGCGTCGCAATACCTCCGAAGTTTAGAATCTCAGTGAAAGCGTAAATAGCGGGCTTCTCGACACACTTTGTATACCACATGGTGTATCCGAGAGAAGGAGCTCCCCGCCTGAAGAGTCCAGACATACATAGCAAAGTCAGGTAGGCTCAGGGCTATGATTGGCTGAGCTCCGGCCAGCTGGATCCGCTACCTCCCGACAGCGCTAGTCCACTTCAGGTATGTGAGATGCTCGGCCAATAAACAGTCATCTATGGGTTCAATCGACGCTTTGATCTCGAAAGGATAAGCTTTCTGGGCGAGACAAGGCTGGAATAGACAGAATAATAGCACATGTCATCAGGGAGAAGTCGTGAAAGTGGACCGTTTTGGTTGCCTTAGTTGGGAGACGGGGATCCCTCCTGCTGTCCTTCGAGCTAACATCCTAATTCCCGGATATAGAAATGATCTGACTGTACAGATAGATAGAGGCCGGATGATGGGCGGATGAGAGTCTTCCTCCCTCTACATAAACCCTTCGAACGATCTTCCTTCGGAACCCCAGCGGTCTTTGGAAAATATTCCTTCATTCAAATCTATTTACGACTCACGCCATCCACCACCACAACCATGGGTAAAGGACTCGCCAGACTCATTGGCTCCGGTATTGCTTTTACTTCTGAAGCTGCCCATGCAGCCCGACACCGAAACAAAGATTCTGTGTCAGTTTCAGAGACCCCTCGCTCTATCTCTGGCGTAGAAAGCGATTGTGGGGACTCGGTCGGTGCAGATAGTCGGACGACTTATACAGTCGGCCTCGAAGGTCGTGCAGAGCTACCCAATCGTGAGGGCCGCTCAGAGTGGGGCAGCGAGAAAGGGCTCCCAACAGGAGATGAAGTTCCACCATACTCACCCGGCTTGGAACGACAGAGGGATATAAACAAAGCGAGATGTTCATCGGAAGTCGAAGAAAAGAGAGGGTACCACTCTTTTGAGACAGGAAAAGACACCGAAACCCCCACTTTCGATACCAGAAACGACCGTGAGCGCTCGATGGATGGAGATGAGGCTGCCTGGCAACTCGACGAAGCGACCGAAGAATTCGGATTGCCCACATATGATCAAACAGAAACTCACCCTGGTCCGAAAGGTGCTCAGAAAGACTTCGACATGAGTGTTGATAATGACCCCGATGAGATTAGTGCACAGGACTCTGAAGATGAGAAGGCGAAGAAAAGAGAGCGCATGATTCGCTCACTCGTGGCACTGGCTGGGCCACCACCAGCTCAACCGCAGCGACTCCCATATCCTGTAATTATTCCTCAACGCAGGCCTGGCGCGAAGAAGCGAGGATTTGTGCGTGCATATGCGCCCGTGTTGGCCGACTGCGGTATCAGCCAAGATGTGTTCTTGAAGTTCATCAGCGACTTTCATAAAGCTAGTCAGGTTGGTGACAACCATTCCTTTTCTTGACCATTATGGGATTGCGTTTACTTACTCACTCTTATCACAGGCTTCAATGTGGCTCCAGGTCATCGTTTGCGCAGCCAACATCACTGGCTTCTCCCCTTCATTAGCAGTTGCGTTGACCGCTGCAGCTATCCAGATTGTAGCGGACACAGCACAGCAATTTCAAATTCGTCACCGTACCAATAGCTACCTCGATAGGGCAAACCAAGAGATCTTTATTCCTCGTGGTCAATACGCGATGATCATGAAATTTACGGATCAGCCTCCCAAGCTCACGAAGAAGCAGAAGCAGCAAAGAGAACAGGATTCGAACTCCCCTAACTCGGAAGCTAATCGACTTGGCCAACTCTTCTCAACCGAGCAGATCAATTTTAATCAATCAGGAGCGACAGGTGAGGTCAATGCCGGCCTGTCTCAGCCCGAAAGACCTGAATTCGATGCGGCAGCGACAATTTCAAAGTACACTCACAGCAAGGAGCACCCACAAATGAACGCATGGAAGCAACGCATGCAGCATTATCGATTGGGAGATGGCGCAACTAGAGGCGAAATGCAGCTTCCGGAGTGTGCACCGCTAGTTTTCCCGGAGATTGACCGAGCTGCTATACGGGTCAGAGATGGCCTGGAACCCAAGTCGACTTTCCAGAGTGGAAGAACCTGGGTTCGGGACTACATCGATCGAAAGTCCCAGGCATCATTCGTGAGTACCAATTCCTTCACTCACGCCCTCGCATATCGATAGAGCAATTCTGACAGGAAATAGGAAGCCCAGCATCAGGGTTCTGCGCTGGCTGTTCCCGAGTCCGGACGCAAGGCCTTCACTTCACGCTACAATGACCCCAACCATCCCGTGAATAGTGGAAAACTTCTCACGACCTTGAGCGGTGGCTTGTACCAGCCTAAGCCAAGTCTATTTGAGCGTGCTGGGGCTGCCATCAAGGAATCCCAGGACAAGAAGCGGGCTGCTCAAGGTCTTCCCCCGAGTGAAACCTGGAAAGAGAAGTGGGCCCGAAAGAAGAAGGAAACTGGCAGTAGAATTAAGATCCTTGGGGAGGATGTGATGTATCTGATGATCGTCAACATGCCTACCGAGGAAGAGCTGAAGGAGTCCGTTGCTAAGTTACAGTACCTCGCGCAGCAGGGAGACCTTGGAAGGGATGGGACAGGAGGGATGGCTCTCGGCCTTGATGTCTTTGATGTCACTGAAGTAGTAGCGCTGGCTGCTAATACTTAGACAGACTGTCGGATTTTCTGGTCTTTAAAATGAGAGTTGATAGTGAAATGTCAGCAGTTAGAGATGTATTTCTCAAAGATTTAGAACGACTGGCTGACTTATCAAAAGACCTAACTAGGACTAGCGCACCACGGGACGAGTAGTCCTCATGTTTTCAGTCCAATGTCGGATTGGTTTTTGTGTAACCGTGATGACGACGGCGAGGCTGTAATAGCACCCGAAGACTCATCATAGTCCGAATGTCTTTCCGTACCGCGCGGATTTCCTTCGACTGGGGCACAGTACCGGTTACCTGGGTATCCGTACTGCAGGTGGGGGCCGAGGGGCCGACCGTGGAGGATCTTCAGCTGGACACGGACACGAGACTAAGAGCTGAGCCTATTGGGGAGTGCCTCCTTAGACTTGCTATGGAATAGGGAACTCGGGTTTCCGACAGACCCTGCGCCCTCTCTTGTGCCATTGTCCTTGCCCGCTCCTTTTGGCGTATCGATATGGCCCCGCTCAACTCGTTTCGCCCTCGAGCCTCTAGAAGCTGTGGGAACTGCCGGGCTGTCAAACGACGTGTAAGTGCCGTTCTACCTTTGCTCTGCTTATTTTCCTCTTGTCTGTCAGGTCAGAACTCAATTTGTCGTGTCTCTACATAGTGCGACCAGCAGACTCCCCATTGTGGACAGTGCATTCGAATGCGCCAAGAATGTCCTGGGTACCGAGATAAATGGGACCTCGTCTTTCGTGACCAGACCGACCAAACCATACAGCGATACAGGAAACCGAAGATCGAAAGTCCCGCCCAAGCCTTGCCTGCCCCCGCCCGCAGCTTGAGCCCCAACGCCGACGACATAGGTGTCAATTACTTCCTCCGCAACTTTGTCAGCGGTCAGTCCTCTTCACGGGGATGCCTGAACTATATTCCTTCTGTTTATCGCGAAGATGGCGAGCATCCTACTCTGGTGGCCAGCATGGCGGCCGTAGGACTCGTGGCCTTGGCCAATTCGACCCAACAGTCTGACCTGGCAAACCTCGCGCGAGCCAAATACACGGAGGCGATCCGCAATGTGAATGTCGCCTTAACATCGCCCGTGGAGTCCGTCAAGGACAGCACTTTAATGTCGGTAATCTCATTAGGAGTGTTTGAGCATGTCTCCGAGCACAAATCGTGGGTTCGACATGTCCAGGGCGCTGCAGCGTTAGTAGTTGCCCGGGGCAAGGGCCAATTCACTAGCACGGCCACGATCCTCATGTTTAACCAAGTTCGCGCTGATCTTGTGCTTGCTTGTGTCCATAACGAAGAACCGTTTCCGAAAGACATGATCCAGCTTCAAGAAGAGGCAGCCAAGCACATTGACGCCTCTGGTGCATTTTGGCTTCTGGGGATCTTAGGTACCCGGTGCGCAGACCTCCTGATGGGAGTCAGGGCGAACACTAGGCAAGTTCCTTGGCCTGAATACCTGGAGGAAGCGACTATGATGGAACGTGAATTCCAACACACCGCCTTGCTCCTCGCCACACAAGAACCCTATACAGTCACCCAAAATGCTTGCTGGGCGCCAAAACTAAGCTATAATGGACGAGTTGACCTATATAAGGACACTTGGGCAATCAGAGTGTGGAATAACCTCAGAAATCTTCAAATGATCGTATACGAGATCATGTTATACCTCTTGAACAAGATTCTCGTGACAGACCTTACACTTACGTCGGCCGTCCGGCAGTCTCTGGAGCTAAAGGTTCAAATGGCAATGCAAAATCTATCAATGCTAGGAGATGATATACTCGCTACCATCCCTCAGGCTTTGGAATTCCTATCCTCCGCGTCCAACACTCCCTCCGTCGATCTATCCTTCCGCGGCAGCGTGTCAGGCGGGTATATCCTGACCTGGTGCTTGTACATGGTTGGAAAATGCCCAGCCACAAAAGCTGAGACCAGAAGGTGGATCATCCAACGCCTACAAGACTTTGGTAGGAATATGGGCATCTCAATTGCACTGCGTCTGGTTGATGATATAGCAAAGATTGACCAATTTGCCGCCTAGACATCATCCATCCAGGTGCTCTCAGCTTTACTCGGTTGTCAAACAGCAAGCAATGTAATTATAGATTTTATTTTTCATTCAGGTTTTCGTGCTAGCACTTTATGTGAATGGCTCGTGTAGTTGCTTAATCAACGCGCGCATGTATACCGTCCAGCCAGGGATGGTGGCTTCTCATACCGAAACCGATCGCCTACTGGGTACCTGGCAAAGCCTGACCACCTATGAATCGTGGGAATCCTTGGTAGCCGAGCCAGAGCTCACCAGTTCCTGGCGGGCCACCGAAAATCTCGTTCTTGCGAGCCTTGAGCTCATCGACGTCCCAAGAAGAGAAGACGATCTTGTTCTTAAGGAATTCAGCTTCGGGGGAGACAATCCAGACGAGGAAGTCGGCAGGAAGAGAGACTGGGAAAGAGTAGTCATTAGTTAATGGATCACAGAGACGGACTAACCACAAAGAACAAAATCAGTTGATACTCACTTTCATCAAAGGCAAATGGTAATTTAATGGACTCTGACAGCTTAGCAGACATGGCTGTTTCGAGGAAACCGGGATGTACATTGTGAAGACGCACTTGCGGGTTCTCGACGGCGAAGGACTGCAGGACCTTGACGGCGGCCATCTTACTGCTGACATAGGCGCCCATGCCGGCGAATGGGGGGAAAATAATGCCAGCCGTGGTCAGATTGATGAATGTGATTGGCTTGTCCTCGTTGGGGCTGACTGTCTTGTTAGCCAGGACGACAGCCTGTGCCGTTACCAGTGAACCGACTACGGTAGTCTTGTAGCCGTCCAGGAAGGTAGCCGGATCGGCTTCCAGGAGCGGAACAACAGGGGCCAGTACGCCGGCACAGTGGATCAGGATGTCGATACCACCAAACTCGGCAGCCACCTTGTTCATGGCGTCGCGGACGCTCGAGGCATCGCATAGCTCAGCCTCGTGAGTTTGGATCGTCACCTCGGGGTGGCTGTCGCGGACAAGGGCGGCGGTTTCCGCCAGGGCGTCGGCGCGTCGACCGAAAAGGATGAGGGCTCGGGGGCCCGATGCAGCGAAGGATGAGGCTGTGGCCCGGCCGATGCCGCCAGATGCGCCAGTAATCACCACAACCTTGCCCGCAGTAGAGAGGCTGGGCTGAGTTGGATTTATGCCAGCATATGTGGCAGAGTGAGTGGTCTTGGTGTACGATGGCGCAGGTGATGCCATTGTCGCTATCTGAGTTGGAACGTAGTGTGTGTCGTGAGGGTTTTGGCGTAAGATGGAAAGCGCTAAGATACTGATAGATAGCAGTAAATACTTGGAGTGTGGCCGGGGGGGAGGATTAAATAGCCGTGTTACAGTCAAACGAGGGGAAGGATGTTCATGCTGGTCATATATTCTTTTGAAAGTACTCTACCTTGCTAGTATTTAGGCTGCAGCCCCGAAGTGGAACCGAGAATGAATCTGTTCCCGTGCTTCGGGGCTTTTACTTCGGCCTCACCTTCAGGTACGGACTCCGAGGAGACATGGCCCACATGAAAACCCCCCGAACAGGCCAATGACAATGGCGCAAATGCCCTTAGCTCGGCCTGGGAGAATCCCAGCCAATGGGACCCAAGTTTGCATGGATCCTTCGTATGGGGCCAATATGAACAAAGAAGAACGAAGACAGAAAGAAGAGGGCGTGCAAATCACTGATCACAGAATATGACTCATGATAAACGAATAAGGAATTTTGAGGGGAATTAGCTTGGATACAAATCTCTATAGTACGAAGGGGCACAACGCGCAGGGTCGTTTTGGCCTGATTGAGGTCTTAATTCCTGAATTTGGCCTGGCAGAAAGGTATACCGCCTTAGTTATGCCAACTGAAGCTTTTGGCGCCATACAATTTAATTATCTCGACTTTTCCAGGTGGTTTACTAGCGCCGTCATACATGAACATGAAGCTATGCGGAGATCACCCGATCTACCACCACCAATAATAGACATAGTTCAATTCCTAAAAAGCCATCTAAATGCTATATGATAGAGAATAGCCAATCACTGTGCCAATAGTAAAATCGCTGTGCCAACAGTATCTTACATAGCCAATTGATCACTCTACTATCTAGCAATTAAATGCGGTTTTGAGAATTGAAATATCTTCGTTATTGGTAGTGGTAGTGGATGCTATTTAAATTACTCCATAGTGATAGGGTGATTTCCGAATAGCTTCATGTTCATGTATGACGGCGCCAGTAAACCACCTGGAAAAATGGAGATAACTGCATTTATATAGCGCCAAAAGCTGTATGTTCATGGGATCCTTGGGCCTGTTATTCCATCCAGGAATCAATTACAATATTAGTTAGTTACATTGTAAAGAGATGCCTAAAAGCGGTTTAAATTTAGGCGCGAATCAGGCCAAAGCGGCCCTGCCCGACGAGCAAGACGCCCGGTAAAATCTTTGGTTTGATCTCTGAGGGTGGTCATCATAGAGATGATGACGCGATCAGGAAGTATCCAGGGCAGCTGCATCGCTTCCCCTCCAAGGGTTGGTTTCTTCCACTGATCTGATCAGCGCTTCACAGCTGGCCGATCGGGGTTTGATATTGAACTCCCAAGAAAGCGGATGGCTAATCACCCCAGGTCTGAACTCAGGCTCAACATGTACCTCGTGACCATTTCTGACCTCTTTTCTGACATCAAACACTGCCAGTGACCGGGAGATAATCAAGTAAAGGGCATAGTCGGCCAAAATGCGACCAGGGCATATGCGCCGACCGAACCCAAAGACGAAGGTACGCGGGTCCAATTCAGGCTCCCGGCCATCAACATTCAAAAAGCGCTCAGGCTTAAACTTCATTGGCTCATGATAGACTTCGGTATCGTGCGCAAAGGCCCTTCAGTGATAGTCAGCGTCTCGATCTTGCGCAAAATTTAGACCAGACTTACCAGATGTTGGCCAAAACCAAGGACCCCTCAGGAATAAGATGACCTTCATACATGTCATCCTTGACTGACATGTGTGGAATCCCCATTGGCGCTACAGGATGCCATCGAAGGGTCTCCTTCACTACAGCATCGACGTAAGGGAGGCTTGCACGATCGACCACCGTGGGCAGTCGAGCACCGCCCAAAATTCGGTCAATCTCCTCTTGTGCTTTACGTTGTACCTCTGGGTAAAGGGTCATGGCCAGGAAAAAGGTCTGAACAGAAGAGACGGTCTCGGTTTCGTTAGTCTAGATGGTCTTAGGACTAAGAGTAGTAACATACCGTGTCAGCGCCGCCTGTATATAACGATGCGGCTGTCCATTTCGCAATCATTTCTTCTTCTGTTCCATTTGGTGGGTATCCGCCTGCTTCAAATAGGTTGGACAGATAAGACGGATCATAGTTGCCACTTTCCATTCGCTGTCGCACAAAGGCATAAGGCTTATCAGCAACATGCTGAAGATTTTGTTTCCAAACTTGCGCAGTTCGCTTGAATCCGGCCCCAGGGAACCAAGAGGGGATGTATCTCACTACGTTATTTAGTATCGTTTCTCCTGTCTTTGCAAGATGCCTCACTTACAGGCCGGAAATACGTCCACCAACCAGGCACCCGGAGTTCCAGCGACAGAAAATTGCTCAAGTGCCATTTTTGCAATATGAACCAATGGGTCCATCTTGTCTGGTTCAATGGTATAGCCATATGCTATCTTGAGAATGACTGCACCCGCCTCCCTGAATTGAATGAATCCATCAGCTATTTCAATGGAGTGAGATTCGGCGCTCAACTTACGTTGAAATATGCTGGATCAAATTCTTCGGATCTTTTAGTACACGTAATAAAAATCGATGGCTCTCCACCTCTTGCAATTCATTATATTGAGACACAGCAGTCTCCGAGCCGAGATATGGCTGCATTGCTTTGCGATAGGCACGTAACCGGTCGGAGTAAGTTTGCATTGCCAGAATATGCTCCCAACCCACCCTAGTTATCCAGGATTTAGTGGGAGTGTGGTCATTTTGTGCTCGTCGACCTACATCTGTGACGCAAATACGAGATTCGGCCGCGAGGAATATATTGCGGACCGCTTACCCAGCAATTCCATCGCAATTTGATGATGATTCAAAATCACGATGGTCTGGCCCATGACAGAGATAGAACTGATTTGTCCTGGAAGCCAATCGAGATGTTAGACTGCCAATGATGATTTCGCCGGTGTCCCAAATGACATGTCTTACCGTAACGATCTTTGAATTTCAACCAATGCATCCAATCTTGCGCCCCTGGAGGCGGCAGATCATAAATATTACCCAGAATTGGTTTTCCCGGCGGGCCAGGGGGTAGTGGCCCATGAACCCTTCTGCGAGCAAGCAGGACCATGGCATACAGCACCATTGCCCCGATTCCCACGCTGAGGATCACGTTTAGAGGGCTGGCGATCATCATTGACGCGTGCTTTTGGCACTGCACAGGAAATGCAAATGATTCCAAGATATCAAGGCGACAGCCCGCTCTTACCTCATGCATTCTTTATTAGTCATTAACAGGAAGCGGGGGTCTTGGCTTCGTGCTTTTGCTTTAGTGCGCACTGTTTCTAGACAAGTGCCGGCGATATCCACTTTTGCATGGACATGTCCAGTCAAAACACGCCAAGTCGCTTTTGTATCTGTGACTTCGGGCTGTGTGGAGGCTGGGGTCACCCTCATACCCACATGAATCGGACCGGCCCTGTCACCAATCATGTGGTCGCAAAACATCGTCTTAGCGATGATTGGCCTGGAAGCAGTGAAGTTGGAGCCGGGACGGATGTCTTTGATCCGCTTGATCCCGCCCTGTTCAGCCATGGACCCATTAAGCAGATTATGCTAGCGGAGATCTGTTACATGGCAGCCGAAGCCCTGAGACATTTATTCTTCTTGCCCCTCTATCTACGCATATTTCCTTCAGAACAGTTCCAGCTGATTGCATACGTATTGATGGGGTTGTCAGCTTGCTTCGGTTTCTCCAACACTTGTCATGACATTCCAGTGCCTACCTATCCCATACTTCTGGTCCGGTTGGACTGGGGAGTACCAAGGAACGTGTACCAACATCAACGCATATTCATGGTACAAGGCAGCGGTGCAAATCGCGATGGATCTCGCAATAATTGGTCTTCCAATTTGGCCGCTTCTACACACAGCCAAAAGCCCTGCTCGTAGTGCTAACGAGATCTTAGAATCACTGTAGTCAGTTGTCTACGGTTGCGGTCGCTCGTCAAGTTTTCGAAATCTCCCAACACTACATGTCAGTCTTTTCCTGCTAAAAGTCTCTCGAAAGTGCTAAATCTTTTGATTTACAGATGCCAACACTCTAGCAATATATTGGAGTGTTTTAGAGTGCGACGTTCCTATTATCTGCGCCTGCATGCCTGCTATACCTTCACTCCCGAGGAACATTTCTTCCATTCTTTTTAGACAATCTCCGAATTACAGGGACGATACCTCGCCTCTCAGACATGCACCTCAATCGATTCCGTTGGATCGTAATCAAAAAGACGAAAAATGCAGAAATTTGCAGGTGACCAGCTCTGAGACATATTTGGTTTAGGAGCTGCAAATTATAGTCTCAAGAATCTCTTTCTTGCATTTGCTTCATGCTAATTTCCCTTGCATACAAGCTGGCCACTCACGTGTATACGTCCGTACCAATAGTAATTCTATATTTTGAATGAAAAAAATGGTGAGGATCAAGGACGTTATATATTATAGTGGTTATGGGAGTAGCCTTGTGAAATCTAGCAGCGGTATCACAATCGATCTTGTAAGGTTTATTAGCCTATGGCTAAGTGTGGCCAAGGTTATTTCTAGCAATACCATAATAATTTACATAGTAAGTGGGAAATGCTTGCTAAGAAACGCCCTCTGTGGTTGTTCGAGGGCGCAGAATGTATGTAGTGCACAAGACCGATATCGGTGTAGACGATCTACCCAACCTGCAACAAATAGGAAATCTCTCACTTATTTACACTTGCATACAAAGTCTGTATTAATGTGGATCATTCTCGCCCACCTGACTATTTCCTCCGTGGGTAATCCTCGCCTCTATCCACCAACTCGACTACATCATCCTCAAGCCCATCGGGAGTCGTGTATGTCACCTTATGTGTAACAGACTTTTGGATCCCATTGGTGTCCAAAAAGGGAGTATTGTTGTAATTGTAGTTGTAATTGTAAGAGCGATTGGTACTACCGAATATCGTGGGGAAGACTCGGCGAAGGGTGGAAAGTAGGGTAGGCATGCAGCAGCACATAATCGAAACGTTACACTCGATGACACTGTATGTTGCTACCATGACGTTGTTGTCTTGTGCACGTTGGTTAGCTTGGGCACGAAATAGAAGTAAACACACTGAGCAGGAAAGGCGTCGGCCTTACATGTTAAGTTTGATGTCGTAGAGTACTTTAGCAGACCTGAGAACCTGACAATACTAATTACCGTGATTCTATCAAGTTGTGAGAAGTGAGTCGCAGGAGTTGACGGTTGGGTTCTACTTACACGATACCGATGCTGAACATCAGAACCAGGTAGATCTTCTTACTCGTCTTGAGCTGGAGTCCGAAGAGCATTGGAATGGGCAGGCCGATGATCCATAGATCGGTAGCGATGTTGATTGCCTAGGGTCAGTCAGTTGGTATCTCAATCCAATCAATCAAGTGATAAAAGTCGACGTACCGAATGCGCCCACCAGAAGGAGTTGCTATTATAGCATAGGGCTGTACTTTCGCCCTTCCAGCCTGACCAGGCCTCTTCGACCGGAATGCAAGTAAGAATTTCAGTGATAAAAGTCGAAATCATGAACAGAAAGCAGTGGACGATAGTCCCCTGGCATAGCAGTCGGAATCTGGGGCCCGGGAAGATATGTAGGAAAAAGCAGACGATGGTCACCTTGGTCAGGATAATTGCAGGGATATACGATACTTGGGTTACCCAGGTATACTATCCACGCTGTTAGTTCTCCAGTCTGGAACTCATTTTTTGCCTAATGATACTTGCCTTCGCTGTGTTCGTGATTTGTTTTTCCGTCAAGGTCCAAACGTCCTTTCCCATCCCTGAACCCATCACTGCTTTGCTGTTAGCACAAACCTATAACTCAAGTTAACGAGGACAAACACACTGAAGAATTCAAATATGTCCATAGGTAACGAAAAGATCTAATCTGCTGGTTAGCTGCCAGACTCCTAACTTCCATGATCACACCGTGGCACACTCACAAATGCAAGGACCGCGCACAGGTCAGCCCACTTGAACTCCTTCTTAGCAGCACAGTCAACCACTCTGATGCTGATAAAAGCGAGAGCCAAGGTACCGGTAACGGCTGTCGCGATGGGAGCGATAAGACTCTTGTCCCGGACCGGCCAGTGGCAGAGCGTAGCCGTGGCATTTTGGGACTCTGGGGATATGGAGTCAGCCTAGTCAATCAGTATTACAAGGAGTAGAATTCCAGGGCATACCAAGTCCTTCAATGACGGTGCAGGCTCCCAGTGAGCAAGCCTCGACATTGGCCATCAGTGTCTTGTCGGCGCATATGCAGTCGACGTCTGTCGCGGTACATGTCGAATTCTTGAGACCCGCGGCCAGACAGTCGGCCTAGCGGTCATTATCAGCCGTGACTCGGTTTCATCATTGGAGAGATCTCATACTGCACATTGCGGAATGTTCTGGGTCGCAGCAATAGCCGTAAAGGCTGCGATGGGAAATGCTAGCCGCGTTGCTAACCGCATTAGGACTCCTTCGTCACTCGACTAGAAGCTCTGTAATGAATACACACACAAAGACACAGAGACACGGCGAAAGCAGAAAGAATAAGAATGATTCGAATCGGGACCTGTAAATCGGCACGTTGGGGGGCACCTCGACGGCAGCTTCACGTTTAGAACTTGGTCTTAATCACTATATTCGTTTTATATTTTTTTTGGACAACCAGGCATTACTAGTTTAATCTATTTTTTTCTTTACTTTTTTTTGCTGTGGGCGCCCCTATTCTAGCCATACCCTGATGGATGGGTCAAATTGGAATACTCTGTACAGGCTCTCACAAATGGCATCCAACGGCCCCCAAACGTACTTTTTCTTACACTCTCCGGGAAGAGATGGGAAATTGGTTCTATTAAGGGGCTTAGCGAGCCCCCCCATATCAGCGAATAGGAAGACTAGACTCGAGCTTCCGGAGGAGACCGTTAGCCTAGCAAACCTTGGAGTATCCCAGCCTCTGCGCTAACAGGGATGTAAACAGACTATTCCCAATCAAAAGTACCTTATCCACTGCTGTAGCCAATACAAATAGTGCGATGAGTGTTGGCACTTGACAGATGTCCAGGGTAGGGTCGGAATCGTCCAGGATTCCTGACGAAGGTAAGCAGCCTGGAGTCAATATTAAAATCCCAAGCTTCCAACATAGACTAGAACAAAAATAACCGCGATGTCTGGCCCACTTGCTAACGCTCGGCTCGATTTCGGGCCGTGTCCCTTCGGATCCAACAGCAATCCCGGCCGTGCCCCGAGCCGTGCCCCCCACTCCCACACGTTAGTTGCGGAGCGAAGCGTAGCAATTATATATTATATATTAGCGTGGCCGGGAAAGATTGCAAACACTAGACGATCCACGTAAGAGGTCTGACCACGCGATCTGCACTACTCGGCACGACTCGGCACGACTCCCATCAGTAGATATGGCTTACTTCTCCAAGCCTAGACGGGCCCGTATCCTCCACTTTACCAGGACAGTATGGTGCTGCTGTCGAAGGAGCCCCAATGAGCCCAAGGAGCATCTGGATTAAATAGCTGCGAGCACTCATTGGCCTCTGCACAATAGTACCACTCCACACATCTTTCGATGCCAACCCGACGGAGAGGGAGGGACACGGTACTTAAATTGGCCTGCTTGGTCTGCTCGCCAACCCAGTTCCAGCTGCAGTCACAGTTACACTTATCTGCCTCGTCTGTGCAGGTATAGCAAAATGCCCGGCTTTGCAACCTATCTACTCGGCGCTCTCGGCGCGATTGTAATCGCCCGCCTTGTCCTCTCACTCTTCAAACGCCCCTCGCTGCCCTTACCGCCAGGACCCAAGCCCGTACCTCTAATCGGAAATATTCACCAGCTGCCCAAGAGCCTCCAGTGGCTGGAGCTCTATCACTGGAGCAAGAAGTATGGCCCGATCATGCACCTTAGCATGGCTGGGCAGCCTCTCATCATCCTGTCGACTCACCAGGCCGCACACGATCTCCTCAACCGCCGCAGCTCACGATACTCGGACCGTCCACGCTTGGTCATGGCCGGCGAGCTTGTCACTAAGGGCATGCACATGCTCCTCCGACCATACAACGGCCAGTACAGACTACATCAGAAGATGGAGGCCCCGCTCCTAACCCTGCGCGCTGCGAGCAACTACCGCCCGCTACAGGACCTCGAGTCGCAGCAACTGCTATGGGACGTGCTAGGCGAGTGGGACAAGTTCGGCGAGAAAGGCGTAGACTTCCACCACCACTTCGAGCGTGCAATGGCCAGTACCATCTACTGTCTGAACTACGGCTACCGGCTGCAAACGGGATACGAGAAGGAGCTGATGGACGGGAAGCGCGTGCAGGCGGAGTTTGCGCGCACCGGGCAGGTGGGCGCATACATTGTCGACTCGTTCCCATCGCTGAATCACCTGCCCAAGTTTCTGGCGCCGTGGAAGAAGGAGGGCGAGGAGCTGTTCGAGCTAGAGCGTCAGCTGCATGTTGGGAACTTGAGGAAGGGGCTGAGTAGCGGCAAGTGGAACTTTGCGAAGCATATGAAGGCTTCGTCGGAGGCTGCGGGAATGCCGGAGGTTGAGCTCGCGTTTGATCTAGGCATTCTTGCCGATGCTGGTTTGGATACTTCGACTGTTGCGCTGGACTGGTTTATCGTTGCTTGGATTACGTCGGGGTCGCGTGGCTGGGTGAAAAAGGCGCAACAGCTGCTAGACGAGGTCGTCGGTAAGGATCGCCTACCCAACTTTGAAGACCGCCCGAAGCTGGCCTACATCGACGCTATTGGTGAGTTTCTCTTGTTCTTATTCAAACAATGGGCAAGGTCTCACATGACATGACACAGCGAGCGAGACCCTCCGCTGGCGCCCCGTCGTCGTCCAAGGTGTGCCACACTTCACCAAGACCGAGGACGAGTACATGGGCTACCATATCCCCGCCAACTCAACTGTCCTCCCTAACGCATTCGCCATCACTCGCGATGAGGCCGTCTTCGGCGGGGACGTTGACAACTTCATCCCGGAGCGGTGGCTCGCCGAAGAATCCGCTAATGAGCATAGCGACATCTGCGGCTTCAACACATCAGCCCTCAAGGATCTACCGCATACGGGTTTCGGGTTCGGGCGCAGAATCTGTACGGGCCGTCTCATCGCGCGCAACCAGCTATTCATCCAAATGGCGCGCATGCTGTGGTCATTTGATGTTGAGGCTGGCGTTGTGGACGAGAGCACAGGCGCGAGACACAAGGTCCATGATATGGACTGCACGGAGGGTTTTGTCACTTTGCCCAAGCCGTTTAGGTCAGTGATGCGTCCGAGGGGGCAGTGGGTGCGTGATGCGATTCTGAGTGCGGGCACCACTCATAACCTGAACCACTCGGAAATTTTGGAAGAGGCAAAGATTGAAAAGTCTTTAGAATGAATGAATACCTTTTTTTTTCTCGGTGGGATTTGACTTCTCAACGGAAAGTCGGTCGCAACCTCGTCCTGGCAGAAACCATTCACCGCTAAAATCCTGCTGTCGTCTACCTTACGTAATATTCTTGATCGCCCTCGTTCACAACCACTTCAGAGCTACCCTCTCAGCTTCCTTTTTCCTATTACCATTACGAAATCTAATCTTATTATATTAGAATGAGGCGCTGACCCCTAATATTGGAAAGCACCCCTGGCAAGTCTCCAGATCCTACTACAGCCAGGGCCTCCACCATTTTTGAGTCGAGCTCGGTGTGCTTGGTATCCTTCGGAGCGCATTGCATTGCCGTGTTAAATACTACTTGGGCTATGTAAAATCATGTTCATTGCCTGCTCAAATCAAATACTCAATATTCAATACGTTCGCGACATAAGGCAGACACACATTCCAGAATTCATAAGAAGAATCGACTTCAATAATTTCGGATTCCAGATTCCCCAACAGTCAAACAATTTCAAGGGGGTTTTCTAATTCGCCTTCTTTTCACGACGACAACTAGCTCCATGTTGTCTTCCCAAACCCTGATGGAACTCAAATCCGACTGTGTTCAGCGATCAAATTTGAAGTGTTGGGAAGGCTGTCGATAGCCGACCTATCAATCTGTTCAATAGATTGGAATCCAGCCTCCTCCATCAGAATATCAAATTCAGCCAAGAAACTTTTCATCACATGTCGCACGCCAGCCTCGCCAGCAATACTCAAACCCCAAACCCACAATCGACCTAGGAAGACAAACTTAGCCCCCAGAGCAAGAGCCTTGAAAGCATCCGCAGCGCTGCGCACGCCAGAGTCGAACATGATCTGTCGAACGTCGATACATTAGCATGGTTTCAGTATTCTCCGATCCCCCAAGTCTTTGTTATCTTCCCTTCCGCCTTATGCGTTCACGATACGTCTTTCTCGGGGGGATCTGATAACATGTTCTCACTTACGTATAGCCTATCACCGACGGCATCGACAATCTTTTCCAGAGCATCAAGGCTAGCGATGGCACCATCCACCTGGCGACCGGCATGGTTCGTCACAACAATGCCGTCAATGCCACTATCGCTGGGGTTAGCATTTTTCATGGATGAACTCGCAAATTCTCCTCGACATACATTTCAACACATTTCTCAGCAGCCTCGACGCTTTGAATTCCCTTCAAACAGAAAGGTCTACCGCCGCTTATCCGCTTCCATTGGGCCATGGTCCACTTGACCTTCTCCCAGGTATGGGCCCGGCCATGCCAAATATTCTCGTCGATCCATTTGGCACCGGCCTCCTTGGGATTTTTCTTAGGGTCGATTCCTGCCTCTTTCAAGCGCTGCTGGAACACAGGGTCCTGCAGGCCAATATCACCTACACCGTGATCGTGGTAGAATGCGTAGTTGCCGGTGAAGACATCATTGTGGCGCCATCCAAGAGACCAGGTGTCGGTGGTGAGCATGCATGCATCATAGCCCGAGTCCCAGGCGCGCTGCATCATAGAAATGGCCTGCTCATCGTCGTGGCTCTGGTACAGCTGGAAGAAACGCGGACCGTTGCCGTTGGCCTTTCCAACATCTTCGATGCTGTAGCTACCAGCAGAGGAAAGGCAGTACGCCAAGTTCAATTCCTCGGCAACTTTGGCAACCGAAAGCTCGCCGGTAGCATGATAAATGCGATTGATACCAATGGGGGCGAAGCCGATGGGAGCCGAGACTCGATGACCGAAGATCTCAGTCACGGTATCTCTAGTGTTCGTGTCCACTAGAGTGCGCGGAATAATGCGGTGGCGGTAGAATGCCTGGCGGTTAGCCAGATGGGTCCAAGACATGCCCGCATTACATGACGAATAGTACCTAGATGGATAAGTTGATGAGATGTTATGCTTCGGATGACTAAACTTACCATCCGCCTTGGGACAATTTCTCCTTCGCGAGCTTCTCGACCTCAGCTGGGTCCGTGTTGAAAAGTGGATAGACGCCATTGTTGGTATTCCAGAATGCATCCCGTCTGTAGAGAGACCATTGTGGAGTGGATCTAATCTTGATATTAGGATTGTTGGGGTCCGACATTGTGAGCCGATTGCTGGATGTCTGTAAGGCAAAGTTGAAAAATATATTGATATAGGTGATATTGAATTTGATTCTCGCAGTGAAAGAGTTTTCTGAGGCAGACAAGCAGGTACTTATACTACTGACAAGCCATCCCTAGAGAGAGTTATTTCAATGATGATAACGGTCTGACATCACCGTCTTCATTTGGTGGGCTATCTCGGGCGAGAGATATAGACATCAACCCTTGTACGTCAAGTCGGAGGTCCGGGGAAGGTTTGACCGGGTCGGATGTCTTGATGGTCTCAATCAGGCCATTCATGTTGCAATTCAGATCAATACGTACTTTCTTTCTCCTCACCCCGCGTGAGGGGAAACTGGTCCTAAGCCTACTCCCACTTATCCCTACGTTGTCAAGAGCAGAAGTGGAAGCAAGCGAGAAATTCGAAGCCGGGAAAGCGGGAAAGCCGGGAAAGAATACGGAGAACTTACGTAATAATTCTGATAAATGATGGAAGTAACTCCTTGATTCATATTTTCTTCGAAAGAACCACGTCCTAACTAGTTTGATCTCGTATATAGTGATGGCTAGATATAATTGACAAACGTAGCATTGGACATAGTGCGAATATCCCTTCTATTTCCTGTGCTATTCCCGTTCAATGACGGAACTTCTTCACGGGTGAAATTGTATATCATGGTCGATTCGTATATGTTCGTCCCTTCACGGACTAAGAAAGGGCCACTCCGGGCGATGGATATCGAACTAGCCAACATGCCTTGCTACATGGGCTCAACCGGAATTGTAACTCACCATGAGGCCTAAGCCAGTCATTTCCAGGGCTAATACTCGACAGGCTGTCACCATCCAAATATGTATCATTTGTCTCGGGGATATGAGCTCTCGATCGATCTTTCGCCAATTGCCATGCCAGCACCTATTTCACAAACCTTGCATCGACAAGTGGATATGTACACATGACGCCAGCTGCCCTCTTTGCCGAATGACCTTCTATCACCTACGTCGACCGTTTCTAGTTTCGGAATCCGTGGCCATGTCTCTTGGTTGTGAACAGGATGAACTCCAAAGGGGGCGCGATATTTTCATTCTTTGGTGGAGGAAATTATTTTGTTTGGCTTGATTTTCCGTTATTTTATGAAATACGGAATAGGGAATTACTAAATAGAATAGAGCTTAACTAATTCAAAAGAAACCAGACGCACTGTATTAGCCCCATTAAAGCTGGACATGAAGCACAATGATTCAAGGTACTTTCTATTGATGTTCGAGAAAGAAGCGTGACCCGGCCGAGACAATAGGCGATTAAATCATAGCAGACAGCTACGGTTGAGATTAACCATCTATTTCTATTTTGCAAATCACTGCCTATCTCGTTGTGTCGATGAGTCTCCATATGTACTATCGGCCGAAAGATTATTTATCGCACAACTTGGGGCTTTATGTTTCGGCACTCAGGGAGGATCATGGATAGTTAGTGGGATTGTGCTCTAAGTTTCAACAAACAATTACTTACCTCGGAAGCCTTTCTTTAGTCAGATTGTTCAGCTCGTAGACATAAGAAACATATCTGTTAAAAGTCAGCGATAGAAGTGTAGGCTCGTCTGTAACGAGGAAGCTGTCTCCAAACAAAGAACCTGAGCTGCCGTCAGATCCACTAATTCCAGATGAACAAACGTCATCGGGCTCTGTGTGATTTTAGTTAAGCCTGTGCGATCTAATTGACGGTCAGGTCCATCCAGCCTCGTGGGCTGGAAGCATACATCGATAGTAATCCGTTATGCTTCCAAGTGTATCTATTCGTGGTATTTTATCCAATCCCCACCACATGATCTCGGCGCTGTGAGGAGGTTTATTTTTCTTTATATTGTCGTGCGATACCGCCGTCAATAGCGCCGTCTATGGCAAATTCAATGGTCCGCATGTTTCGAGCGATAGGTTGTGATGAACCCAACTATCGAGACGTATTAGCCACTCTATGCCCTGTCGTCCCCTTTCCTATACCCTGTTAGTCGGTCCAATCTTCACCCCGACGGTACAACTACCATTCCCACTTTGGGATTAAATTGTATTGTTTGTCTCTGGGAAATTCCAAGCAAGGGAAATTAAATACAATGGCAGCAATGATTATGCGAGTTTTCACGGCATTCGGCCCTCCAAAGGTCGAGAAGAAGAACGATGCTATCCGTTTTGGCATCCTGGGGGCGGCCCAGATTGCGTGAGTTCCATATGCCCCGAAGTGGTCGCCTCGCTGAGCCTGATTTCTGATAGACCTCTCGCCTTGATCACACCAGCCCTCTCACATTCCGAGGTTATCGTGCAAGCGATTGCGGCTAGAGATCATGCCTGTGCTTCGGCATTCTCTAAAAGCAGAACATCCCCGGCGTTCGCACATCCTACGAGGGTGCGTTAGACTCAGAGGCTTACTAGAGAGCCCCGTCTCACTATAAACAGAAATCCTGGACGACCCGAAGATCGATGCAGTCTTGATTCCTTTACCCAACAGTTTACACTTCGAATAGGCCATACGCACCATTCCTGCCGTCAAGCATGTCCTTTTAGAAAAGCCGTCTCTCCAAAGCCATTGAGGCTGAGATTCTCTTCAATTTACCCAAGCTATAACGGCCAAATGTCCCCCGTGTTGCTCGAGGCTTTCCACAACCCGTTCCATCCTACAGTGCACAAGTTCCGGTCCTTCATCACCCCCGCTGATATCGTCCACTTCCATACAGACTTTATGGTTCCATGGTTAATGCTCGAAAAGGACAACATCGGGTTCAACTACAAACTCGCCGGCGGGAGCATGATGATAATAGGCACATACAATTTCGGCGTTATCAGCATAATCTTTAATAACGAACCCGAGGAGTGTCTAACCTGCGAACCTGGCATCTTCGGTGACAGCATCCATAACCAGTGTGATACTAACTTTAAAGCCAAATTTCGCTTCCCGAATGGCAGTATTGCCGAAGCTTCCACCACCATACGTGGGCCTATCCTATAGAAACTGTCCGAGGCCCGCGTCACACACAAGTAAGTCGTCGTCGATGACAAGTCCACCCCGAAGTCGCAAGAGAAGCTACGCACACGGGCGGTAACGCTACACGGTTTTATCCATACTTTCATCTAGCACCGTATCGATATCAAGGATACCTTCGTTATTCGTAACAAGAGTGATAGCATACCGGTCAAGACTTAGACCGAGTCCAAGGCACATAAGGCTTACAGTTACAAGGAGGCAGGGGGTGAATTTGCGAATCTCCCCGGTAAGGACTGGGGGATGTCATATCGGTACCAACTTGAAGAATTTATCAATCGTGTTAAGGGGTGTTCTACACAATATTGGGTTACGGGTAAGGATTCATAGAATCAGATGAAGATAATTGGCATGGCGTACGAGAAGAATGGTTTAGGATTGCGGCCAACAAGCGAGTTCCAGTGATTAAAGTGTGTTGAAATAAGACAACATTGCCTATATTCTTTTCTGACGATATGTACATGATATGAAGGAAACCGGTAGCTCGATGTTAGGTATTCATCTCCTCCTATGAAAGCGGGTGATGGAATGGTATTGTGTTCTCCAAGTCTAATGCAGTAGGGACTTGATTCCATATAGTATCACCCTACCAGGGCGGCCTTAGCGAGGCCGATTGCACAAGACTTGAATGAACAGCAATTGAGTGATTATGACCAATATCCTCGGATATGGAGTCATTCGAAGGATTCATGGCCTCATTTTGACCGGCGGTGATATAGTTAGTTAGTCCCATTTCATCGTCTTTTGCGTTCCTCTTCATTTGATCGAACCCGTAGTCAAATGTTGGTCCCCGGTTGCTGGTTTGATTCCCCCTCTGGAGACCCTCCCCCGAACCACTGTGGAGTCCTGGTCTTTCTGGAATAATAGTGCATCTTTGTGAATTCAAACTTGATAAGATTGATCGATGGACGAGTCGAGCAAGCGGTGCAAGGTGAGGCAGACAGGCACAAACCACCGCGACCGATGGCTCGATGGTTGACCAGATGAATACGGGTCCCATCAGCCATGTCACGTCCACGGCGCCCATGAATTCAGAGAGATAATGGATTCGCACGATGCTCGCAACAAAAACACTAGGATAAATGGTTCAGCTCTGTTCACGGAATGAGGCTTAAAAAGAAAAGCAAAGAGGCCATACAAGATTCCCACGGCCATGATGCCACAAATTGCTAATTTCTTCCGAAGGGTCATTTGTAGCCGAGCTATTCGCGGAAAAGGGATGATCAGAATAATGAGATCATTTAGCATGTTGAGAATCCCTAGTGCGAGAAAGAATTGGTTGATATTGATGCATTTTCCTTCAGCGCCGCTGAATTGTGTCCAAAAGTGGGACACTGGTTTGCAAGCATTGCCCATAGTTACCCAAATAATGATAGGATATGAGAGTGTGAGTACCAATCCGACAATGAGAGCCGCTTTCAACGAGGATTCCAAAGGGAAAAAGATTCGCGCATAAAAGAAAAGAATGGAGAGTCTGGTGCAAGTACAGGACGAGGCATAAATGAACGTGTAAGAGAATAAAAGCTAAATAAAGCTGGGTTAGAAAAGTCAAGCGCTCTTTTGAAGGGCATTTTCTTACTCTGTACAAGTCCACTAATTCTTCCAGCTTGACGGCCCATATATGTTTTCCTGCACCAGTAGTGCCGCCTATGTACAACGTTGCTCTGTTAAACAATGGTCTTTTGCTGGGGGTTTAGTACTCACCGGCGACACTTATTCCAGCTGAGACACCTATACAAACCTTCGATCCAATACAGTCAACAAAGGTGATCCAAACTGGCGAAGGATTAACTCACTAGTGCCGCAATAATTGCCCAGTCATCCGCCATCAAGGCATTTTGGAGGACAATTCGAGCAGTGAAGCGTAGAATCACTAACAAAGCAGCCAGACACAGCATTGCAATGACCACACCATTGTTAACAGATACCTCACTGGCAGTGAGGTCGATATTCAACGGGGCTGGCCCAAAGAGAGCGACAATGGCCGGGTCCTCATTCATAGCAAACTATGCGTACTTAATGGGAGAAATATCGCAGCATCGAACTGAGGCACACAGCAGGATCAGCTATTAATCAGCGGAGCGAATGAGATAGTTCCTATAATGATGGATTCACTCTAGCAATCAAATCTGATGGCTCCTGGAATTATGTACTTTTGCAGATGAACATTTAACCACATAAAGATGTTGCACCAGACATTCTTGGTATACAGGCTAATTTCAGGGCGATCGCCGTCGGAGAAGCGCCGATCCCGCCTAAAAGAAAGCTAGTATCAGCGTTGTTCGGGCCGTTAGGGCTAGGCCAAAGCCTGCACACTACTCCATACGGGGTATTATCTAGCGATTTACCAATGGTAAGCTGTAAGTGATCTTAGTAATCAACACCTCGGTTTGATATCCCTGTATAATCCATATGTCGCCACTCGCACTATAATTTAATGAAATTGCGATGTCCCGTCTCGCATGGCCCTAGTCAAGCATCATCCTTCAATGGGTCTTGAAACGGGAGATCCCTATCTCACCACAATGGCCACTGAGCCTAGGCAGTAGAAAATAATTCGAAGGGTACAAATGTCCAAGTGACTTAGAAATTTGCCAATGATAAACCCCCCGTATTCCAGTGCGTATACTCTGTACTTTTCATCCCGTCTACCACTACTTCTCTTTTCATTTCCCGGGTACCCTAACCCAAATACAACATGGGTTCTGTGAATAACCAACCGATTCCTGAGCTCACAGTTTTGGAACGTATCGGCCCTAAAGGCTATCTTCGTTACATCTTCCCCTTTCACCTTCAGGAGGAGTATGACTTGGATGAAGCTATTCGAGTTCTTAAAGCCGGGTACCAAGCTCTCACACAACGAATCCCAGAGGTCGCGTGCGAAGCCGTTCCCGATGGCAGTTCGAAACAAAAGGGTGTGATGAGATTTCGGAAACTGGAGAACAATGAGGTAGCGCGCATTGTGGTCAAGGACCTACGTGAGTCCTTTCGATCTGATTATGCGGAGTTGAAAGATAAATCCTTCCCTGTCTCCTCCTTCGATGCCGATACGTTCTGTCCCCGTTCTGTTTGGCCTGCCGCTGGGGAGCGACTGCCGATTTCAGTTGTACAGGCCAATTTCATCCGAGGGGGGTTGATCTTGACGTGGTGCATACTCCACATGGCGGGTGACGGTACCACATTTTATACTTGGACAAACATATGGGCAGAAGAGTGTCGCCAGGCACAGGGACTAGAGATCCTAAATCCCATCCACCTTCCAGAGGCCATCTGGCAAGACCGCGAACAAGTGACAAAGCCGACCGGCCATAATGCTGGAAAGCTCGAAAATCATCCAGAGTATACTCTTCTTCCTTTTACACCCCCGGGACCCCCGCCAAAGATGTCTTCTCTGAGCCATTGCGGTCAGATTTTCTATTTTTCCCCGGAGTCTTTAGCAAAGCTGAAGGCAGAGGCGTCCCCAGCGAATGCGACCAAGCCGACCGATCAAAAATGGATATCGACCAATGATGCTCTCGCGGCGCTACTCTGGCGTACAGTCATGGCAGTACAGTCGCCCCTAGACACTCTGGAGGGTGACCCTGTGTCTGTTTTCAATATTGCTATTGACGGGCGGCAGCGTACAGATCCCAAGTTGCATCCATCGACTTTAGGGTGTTTCCTAGAGTATGTGTCCGTCTCGGTGCCGATCCGCAAAATGCTCAGCACCATGACTTTAGCCGATCTGGCGACGGAAATCCGCAAGGCAATTCTGCGGGCCGATGAGCAGTTCACGGATGATGTGATAACTCTGGTAGAGCAACTTGAAGACGTCGATCGGCTGGTACCAACCGCTTTTCTAGATGTCCCCGGCTTCAACTGCGTGTTAACCTCATGGGTGAACTTCAAACTGTACAGGTTGGAATGGGGACCACTGCTGGGCAACAATATTGAGGCTGTACGAGTGCCCCATGTTGGCTGCATCAACGGCTGTCAAGTTGTGCTCCCAGTTTTGCCGAATGGTGGCATGGAGATTCTGGTCGGTGTGGAAGAAAGCTGCTTGGACCGACTGCTTGGTGACCCCTTGTTCACGAAATACGGCGTCGCTCGGTAGAGTCATAAATGCGAGTAAATCTCCATGAAAGCATCATTCACCCACATTATTGTTTCTTCTTTGCCATCTGATGGGACTACAGTATAGTGATGCAATTGAAGAGGGAGAGAGTTGTCAATTCCTAAATAGGTTATATTTGGCCATGAATAGGAATGTGTGGAAGGGAATTGTATCTCTGACGCCTTGGGGGTTGCTAGAGGGCCATGATTCAGCCGCGCTGCGCAGCCACGATAATGGATCCGACTGGCCAAAAGTCTGTTTTGTGCTTCCAGGAGCACTGAACGCTATAGGTTCTTTGATTATAATCCGCTGGTATTGTGCCGATATGATAGTATCTTTTGAGTGTTCTTATTCCAGTACCTTTCGCGATATAAGGGTAGTGAATGGTGTCAGAAAGTTGAATCAACGTTGATATCAACGTTGAACATAAAATACTATTGAACACCAGTAGCATGTTGTTTTCCGCCTATAGAAGATATCCATCTGAGCCATGTTGGTTTCCTTGCTAATAGTGGGACTTTGTTAAATTTGCCACTTGAAACTCGTTTCCTAATCGGCCGCGTTAGTTCACCTAACAGTGACGGTTTTGTCATGGCTTAGAAACTGGCTGTTAAATGCAAGCTTAACAAAAGATATAGAAAAGAGTTGACTACATCTTTCTGGGGGCTGTTGGGTAGGTTTTCAATCAACAGTAGTTTCCTTAAGTACAATGTATCGCAAATAGACCAAGGCAAACTACGTCGGTATCAGAAATCTTCCGTCGGTGTTCGTCCAAACTTGAGAAGTGATATGCGCAACCACGACACATATTAAGGAGGATAATAATATAGTAGCAGGAAAGTAAATCCTGGGAACAAACGGGTGATTTCCGGGGATCCGTACTAAGAGACCGGACACTTCTTTAGAGGCCATCGGCCTTGAGCATAGGAATAGTGCTTCAATTTGAAATATACTTATCTAGTAAAAGCTCCGTGGAATGCTACTAAGACACCTAATTAAATGGTATACGGCGCCGCTCAGTATCAGCTGGGTCATCCCTTTGTAGAGGCAGCATTTGCGTGAAGATTACCTAGCACTTATAACCTTACAGTACCCGGGGATAATGACCTGCTTTATCCTTCTGCGTCCTAATCTTTACTTTGCTCAACTGTTCCCTTGAGCGACACCTGCCTCACCTTTTCATGCCTACTAAATCTGCCCTTGCGGACACAAAATGTCTCCGAGGACTGCCGCCGCCATGATACGAATGCGTCTTGTCATTATTTCCCTTACTATCACTTGGCTGGCCCTTGCTAGTCTCAGTTCGGCCATTGTACACTTTGCGGTCGTCCTGCGAGACTGTGTAAAATCCGACCTCGTCACCCCGACCGACTCTATATTGGACATCACATTCCAAAATCTTATGGACAACGTCGTCGACGGCATGGTGATTGCGGCCCTGGTTTCAGCCCTGTTTTCTATCTTCGGGTTAATCCTTGTGATCTACCCGAAGTGGCTATAAGAGAACTGCGCCGCTCGGTTTTACTACGGTTGCATTTAAATCATCGTGAGCATGATCGTGCTCTCCTTAGGGGGTTGGATTGCCAGCCGCGTCCACGGCTTTCAGATATCCTTCGAATTTTTTGGCAGCGAGGACCACATTCCATATTATAATATTATGTATTATGGATCTGTTAGCCAGGCCGCTTTCGGATCTTTAGTGGTCATTGTGTCTTTTGTGCGTTTTGTCGTACGTGACTTACTTGGTCACTAGCAGAGAACGCGTACTGAGCCTATAACACAGTCAAAGTGGCGGTTCCAACTGCCTACTAGAGTAGGGCTGTGAAAAACGAGACAGCAGGTATTACGAATAAGAACAATCGCAGAATTTTATGATGGTTTTCGAAGAATGAGGGAGGTGGAGTCTATAAACATTAGAGAGGTGCGACGGATAGGTTCAATTAAAGGAGGGGCTTTACTGCGGAGTTGCGGAGATGATTTAGATATTGGATTTCCTGATTGGAATCAAAGCATATTCATCGCTTGATCGGACTAGCCGGTCGATATTGGCCGATATTGGAGCCGTGTTCTGAGTGGCTCGATATATAGGATAAGTGATGGTTGACGATCTTCTGTGTAAATATCCATCAATCTTGGTGTTCGTAAAGACTTCAAAAACTGACCCTGGGACATGTCAGTAGTCCAGGAATCACATAGCTAGAGGAAATTGTACGTAACTTATAGAACTATCCATCTTTACTTTTAGCAATTTAGTCACGTTCCTATGAACAGCTCTATCAGTGATAGGAACTCACATCCTAGCCCTAGGAGTTATCTTGCTGCCGGATACTTTAGTGCGGTTTATGGGGGCATACAAGCGGCTTCTAGGAGCCACGTAGGCCCCGGGAAGCCCGACGTAGTTTCTGGGGCTTTTACCTGTACCTCGGAGAATCAACGTCATATCCCTGTTGATAGCTTATTAATTCCTGGAGCCTTGAGTCCGGTTCCTAAAACCATAGGCTAGGCATCTGGGAATAATAAAGTGACTCAGATTTGTGCGTAGGTCTGGAGATAAGTTAGTACCGTACTCTGGGAGGCAGAAGATTGACTCCAGGATTCAGAGATACGGCCCTCGGAGTGCAAAAGCGCCCAGATCCAGGCAATGCGTTCCCCAAACCAATTTCGTGTTCATTCAGGAACGTATGTCAGAGATCAAGCATATATAGTAGCTTGGGTGTTTGGTCGCTGACCAAACATTGTGCCTTTTTGGCCAGATGGCGTAGTGGTAAAACCCAAGCACCCACGAACCGTCACAACGTAGAGTGAAGATCCCAGGAGTAGATTAGTTTCCTGGGATACACAGCTCCTATAAATGCTTTTGAGGTTTCCAGGATCAAGCTCTATCAGCCCTGGAAATGATGGCTGGGTCCTGGGAGCTACCTTGCTCCCAGGGGCTTCAGTGTGGTTTCTGGGGGCAAAGAAGCCGCTTCCAGGAGCCAAGTAGCCCCCAGGAAGCCCAAAATAGCTTCTGGGGTCTTGTACCTCCACCTCGAGGAACCAAAGTCATTCCTGTAGACAGTCTTATCAACTCCTGGAACCTCAGGTGCGGTTCCTGGGGCTATAGCTTGCCTTTCCAGGAGTCGTTGAATGACTCATATTTGTGCGCAGGTCTGGTAAGGGTATCTTGTGAGGGCTTTCCGCCACCTCAGAAAGCAGAATAATGAGTCCAGGATCCAAAAGTAGGGCCCCAGGAGCACGGCAGCTTCCAGATCTAGCCATTGTATTCCCAGAGCCATTTTGTAACCAGTCAGGATCGTAGTGTGGATTCCCAGGGGTAGACCTCAAATTCCTAGAAACAGGAAGTGACCCCAGGAGCTAAAGAGGAGTTTCCAGGGAATAAACAGCTTCTATAATATCTCTTGGCGTTTCCAGGATCAATCTGTTGATTCCGAAAGTCAGATTAACAATGTTTGTCGATTAAATAGATGAGCTGGTTCTAATACGTCGCGAGACAGTATGGATAGAATTGTCGAGGCTCTCCTGCCGACGCGCGAGCTGTGTTTTCTGCCAACAACGTCCGTCTTCGCGCTCCACAAGGCTCAGCTGAACTCGCTGTCGGTATTTACTTTAGCCGCCGCCGTTAGGTATGTGCGCTTTTATCTACCGGCGCTCGGTTTTCGAGCTAAAACGTATCTGAAATGAAGCAAACTTCGAATAGCATTAAAGGTGCATTGACATCTAGCACTTGCAAACATGAAACGGTCGCGTAGTGCTCTATGGGGTCTAACGATCAGGATTTAATTTATTTGGTTGCTCCAAAACTCCATATCACCAGGATATGGAGTCACGTGTGATTGACAGCCGCTTCGCTAATTTCCCATTTCCGTCGCGCGTTTGCTGTAAATTGTAATCACCTACGCTGATTGGAATTCAGTCGTGCCGACCGGCGAAGCAATGCAGAGGTAGAAGAATCTCGCGGTAGGTGAGCCCCTGCTAGTCTGGCTGAGCGACGGGGCCCACTCTGCTCGATTGATACCCCTAGGGATTCCACTGACCGCTGAGGCAGCTGACTCTGACGAGGCTCGTTTGGTGCTGAATACCTGGCAGTGACAGGTTCCCTATCGGTTGATGATTCGCTTGCCGAGTCAATGGAGTTTGTTTCGGCATCTGCCGGGGGGACTCGGAGTGGACGGATCAAGGCGTCTAGACTTCCTTCGTTTCGACTGCATTCATCAGTATCCCGGCGTTGCAGAATGAGACCATCTTTACTTACCATATACAGCATGATGTGCTAAAACCTGTAACTCGCCTTTCTAACCATTCTTCCGCGCAGGAGAGATGACAGAGCGATGTGCACTTACGGCAGCGTAAGATCACGCGCTCATTTGTATGGTCTTTATCGTCGGCCAGGCAGAATATACAATAGATGCTGTCGACGTGGATCGTGTCGACCTCTTGGCTTGGCCCGAAACTCTGCAGCGTCAAGTCTTGGATACCAGCCCAGATATTACTTGCCGATAACAGGATGGTGGGTTGGTCCGGCGAAACGCTCTATGGAACACTATTCGTCCGCAGTATTGTGGCAGTCATAAATGGAATGGATGGCTGGATTGGCTGCACTGGCTTGGGGCTGGTTGACGGGCGTACCGGCGGGTCTTGTCTGAGCCGGTGAGTTGACCCGTTAGTGTTGTCTAACGTGGGGCGTCGCCTGGAGGCTGAAGACGTCTGATGCTGGCCTAGATCTTCTACGACTGATGTAGAAGCTATTCTGAAGCTATGTGGTTCTCGCACCTGGTTGTGGACGGCGGCTTTATACTACTGCTGGCCAACTTGGTCGGCCTGCTGTTGCCGGTGCTATCTTGCGCAAATAAATTCTTTAGTAATACTGCAGAGCTTAGATTGTAAAGTTGAAATGTCGAACGGCTCTCTGGTGAGAATGTTTAGCTTCTGATGGCCTATCTTGGTATCCTGGAATTTGATTGAGTTTTTGCACGGAGCGCCTTTTTTCGTTATCCCGCAATAGGAGCCAGGACCGCCATTGGGGCTGACTTCTATCTTATAAATAAGAAATGGATTCTAAGGAAGTATGGTAGACAATGAGGTGGTGGTTAAAGGCAGAAACTGCTTTAAGTTGGAGTTAGTGTTGGGGAATCTCTGCGGTGTTCCCTCGCTAGCTTTATATGCCATCGCTGTAGGCTCCTTACCTAGATGTCTATGTGGCTGCTAATATAGAATGCTTCCTTGAAATAGTCGATGTGTCGAAGGATACATTCGGATGCAGTATGCGCTGGTATAGGTCGATCAGTGGCCTACGAGAAGGAATATTATTCTAGATTACTGCTGCCTAAATTAGCTACAGTTGTGGTAGTGGGTTGCGATAAGTATATATTGGCAGAAGGATTGGCAATTGTTGTTGGTAGTATAGTCGGTAAAATTGAGAGATACCTCCTTACATTTCGAAGTGTATGTAGGTTGTGATTTACCTTAACGCTTATGGCGATAGATGCGTGAGGTGGTACTAAGATAGATTCGGTCTCCTGAGGCCCTTGACACGCTACTAGGAACAACTTTGGCGTTCCTAGGAGCTAGACTCTAGAGATTTTCCGCAAACATTGTTGTTAAGGCTTTAATGCTGCCGTGTGATTGCTATGTACCTTAGCGGAGCTATAGGCTACGCTCCTAGTGGACTATGGGATTTAGCCGAGGTGAGTATATAAAGGACTCCTATATTTAACTTTTACAACTCTTACCTTACCTTTACCTATACTTCATTTGCTCTAAGCTCCAATCCGCTGTCTAACTATGGTCTATTTCAATTTATTCTTACTAGGCTTACCGATGAGCTAATATATTATAGCTGAATATCAGAGACCTACCTAATGAGCTTTTGCTGTGGATTGTATCGCATTTGGATGGTAGTGTGATGTTCGCCCTTACAAAATCGTGTAAAGACCTTGGTTTTAGACTCTAGCCTAGTATCTAGAGATATAATATTAAATTCCAGAACAGTAATCTATTGTACCTAGCCGTTAAAGACGATAATGTTGATCTTGCGGCGGCTTTACTTTAGTATAATGCTAATATTAATGCCTTTTACCGAGGTAAAATACCTTTAATAAGGGCGTTTTAATACTCTTCCGCCGCAATATGTGAGCTGTTACTTAATCATTGAGAGCTAGATATTAATATTTAGAATCAAGTACGCGAAACTGCGCTATAGTATGCTATTTACTATAGAAATTATTCTATGGTTAAGAGCCTTTTAGAGTAACCTAAGGTCAGAGTGGATATTAAATATAAATATAGCCGAACGGCGCTCTACCTAGTGGTTTTCGCTGGTAGGATAGAGTTTGTATATCTTCTGCTATTAAGAGGTAGTAACCCTGATCTATAGGATGATTCAGGCGAATCACTGTGGGCCTGGGTATATCGCTTCTATAGACCCGTGATGAAAATGATTCTTTCTAACGACCCTGACTCCGACTTATTTCTTAGAACTCAATCATTACAGGACGCTTAGCTACCGCTATATCAAGCAGTAGCCTATGGTTCTGTTGCCGCTGTCCAGCGGCTTCTAAGGCGAAAGGACCTAGCGCTAGATACCTAGGACCGTAAAGGTTATACGCCGATCTATCTCGCTGTTAAAAGTAATCGCCCTGAAGTGGTCGATTTGCTCCTAAGTTACCTGTATATAAATGTGAACTGTATAGATAAATATGGAAATACGCCGCTTAGCTTTCTACTTACTCGTCCTACTATGAATAACCGAAAGGCTATTAGCCTAGAAAAAAATCGACGTTAATCTAATTGGGGGCCGTAGGAGATTCGAAATGCTGTCTATATCTCTATACCACGCTGCGACTAGATTAGATACTGTGCTTCTACGACGACTGCTTACAGTACTAGAGATCGATCCGAATCTCTGCGTTGTAGGTCACTTTCTAATCTCTATTGCTGTATCCTGTGGATATGTGAGTACGGTTGCTTATCTGCTGAGTATAGGGAGCTTGGAGATTAATAGGAGGGGCTTTATAGATCCGCTAATCTGTTAAGCGGCTGTATACGGCTATCACGATGTGGTTAGGCTATTAGTGTAATAAGGCATACGTCTGAATATCAATGAAAGTACGATTGTATCTTACGATACTGCACTCTGTATTACTGCCTATGGTGGTGACTTGGAGATGGTCTAGGCACTATTGTATTATAATTAAATTGATGTTAACCTTCGGAATGAATATTTTGAGGATCTATTGATGTTGGCAGTTAAGGATGGTTATTTCTTAATAGTTAATGCTCTTTTGGTAAATATTAGACTTAAACGCTTTAGTTTGAAGAGATCGCTTGATCTAGCAAGAGATGACTGTATCTAAAGGGCTATTCGAACCAGAATAGAATCCGATAATACTTGTCAAACATTGTTAAGGCGGTCTCCGAGGATGAAATTTGGTGGTCTGTGAAACCTATCTATACCTCTTGTGATATAATGTAAGATGGCTGTTTTCAGCGTCACTTGATATGAACTCTCGGAATTATTATCTGTACCTCCACGCTTCGAATAAGTTTATTCACAATAAAGTCACGTTCGACTTTAACGACTTCTTGATATATAGTATCTAATGTAGTAAAGTTATACTTATAAACTATTATTAGGAGGTAGTTTATACGAGTCTTTGTTTTAAGGCTTTATCTGTTGCGCATTTTCACATTAAATTGAGTAACTCGGGGTGAATAGTAGATGAAATCGAGCGTCAACAGTTGAGGTAACCGTTGAGGTAACCGCTTACTGACTCTTTTAAAGGCGGTCGAACTTAGGCCGGTACGGTTATAGGTGGTATGATAGTAGCCTCGGTGGGACTGCTGGGCTATAAAAGACTCTTCAGTATAATGTCTCTTGTATTTCATTCTAAGGCCACGATGGACTATCCTACTTCGCCTTGCCTATGTGACCGGCTAGCTAAGAGATAGTGCCGGGTTTCCCACGACCCAGAAGATGAGAATGAGTTGTAAAGCCATCTATAGCAATCTTTAAACGGTATAATTATTGAACCCGAGGTCGGTTATACCCTCTTCGATAGTAAACGAATAAGATCACTAATACTATATAGGTTCTAGTGCGTATACCCGGTTTCCTTACGGTGGAGTTCATAAAGCTTCTATACCATAACGATGCCCTGGCTATACCAGCCCTCAAACTGCTCGACTTGTACTTTTGCCTGTAGGAATGCTATATCGTTAAGTCTGCTGAGGAGATATGACTTGAGGATGAGCAGCGACAGCTTTAATGGTTAAATGAGTGGCTAGTAAGCGATAGCGATATCCTTCTACAGGTCTGCGATGAGTAGACATTGATACTGTGGGATCGAAAGCGAGCAGTTCGAGCACTTTGTAACGGCGTCGTTTCAGCCTTATAAGCAAGCGATCCTAAAGCCTTCTATGTTAATGGGCTGTGATGAGGTCTCGGCGTTGTCGAGCGCTCGTGGGCGATAACGATACCTGAATAGTTCTACTATCTACTGCCTTCTGTCCCGAATATCATCCCTCTTTCTAGAGGCCTATATAACCGCCGGTGATGTTCCGTTGGGTTTGGTGACAGGGTGTAAACATTTCACGGCTGTTGATATACCCAACGCTTAGTTTAGGGCATTTAGTATCTGGCCATAATTCCTCCTAATACGTCCAGACCTTATGCAATCAAGCATAGATAAAACCTCTGCTTATCCTGCGGCATTCTGTCCTTCCTAACCCCCGTTAGATCGCTAGCTTATAAACTTCTGTATTCTCCCTATAGTATAGCCTTCGACGGCGAGTTTTGAACCGAAATGAATGAATCGAACAAAAATGGTCTGTACCGGTTGCTTTCATAATTATTTGTGCTAAAATTGGTAGACTGTGATTTTGGATCTTGACCTTCACGCCATCTGGCAAGAGTGCTCTGGCATACCGACACCACCTCCCTGTCTCGCCACTGACTCCGAAAATTCTCGGTAGATTCCCTCGGATGAGGGTGAGCCTGCAGGAGATGAGACTTCAGGGTCGTCTGTGATCGAATGCCTTTTCTATCCTACTTACGAGAAGCTGTCAGCCTTCAGGTGGACTGGTCTAGACCCTCTGTCCATGTCTACTTAGGCTAGCGACTTGTTCCTCTATATGTCAGCTTTCGCTTTCTCTAACGAAGTGCACTGGGTAGAGACTCGACTAGTCCTATTTGATCGGAAACCTGGCGAGAGTATAGGAGAGCATCTGTTCTTCCTACCCTAGGTTGAAACTGCCCTAGGGAATCTCTGTCGGGTACGCGGACAGTTGCTAGATACGATCTATGATTTTAGTGCAATAGGTAATAGCTTCCGACTGTCTCTGCGGCCTCGTATGGAACTTCTATAATACTCGAGTTAATCGACACTTTCTCCGCTAGGTACGCTACCGACCACACTCTCCCTGGATCCGGAGTTTTTTGTGTATAAAATATTGGGTGGTTATAAGTGAGACCGGTCCAGAATATAGGGGATTATTCGCAGACACAAGGAATATAATCTGCTGTTCATACTGTAGTTCTCCTTCAATTAAAACGTCATTGTAGTGTTTCTGCTTTAACAATAGGAAGGATAACTCCAGATAGCCGATCCCTCACTCTCCTCTTGCATTATCCGGCAACCCTGCCAGATTGAGTCTCGAAGGGTGGTTCCAGTTATCGAGTACCCTAACCAGCCTCTCCCGGGATAATTCCAATACCTGATCGAAAAAGTGCAGCCGAGACAGCTGCTTGTCGTGGCGAACCTGAAGACCATCTCTCTCTTTTCTCAGGTGCGTACCAGTCTCCTTCAAAGCAAGGTTGTCCTGCTCTAGCTTCTGGCCATCGATATGCTTGGATACGCACGACTCCCATAGGCGGCGATAGAGTCCAACAAGTCGAGCTGCTGGAAAGGCGAACTTGGGATCGTCGCGCTCGAGGTCTGCTAGAACCTGCAAGATCGGTTGAAATGGCTCGGTCGCCAGGGTGTGTCTTATTTTTGTTTCCTGTTGCGAAGGGGAGGGCTGCAATGGTCAGCAAAAGCGTTTGAAGCCGAATCGTTTCACTTACCAATGAGACATGGTCGGAAGTTTCCTGTGATTTGTCCTTCTCACCAAGGATGGGCAATTCACTGGGCGGCTGCTCTCCTCCAATTTCCTGGTCTTTTTTTCGAGCTGATTTGTGCATTCATCTTGTCCGCAGGAGAAAGTCACGGCTCTGGACAATACCATTTCCATCGATCCTTGGTGTCTCTTATAGAATATGCAGACGCCGGTGTGTATGGGCTGGGTTTTACAATCACCACAACGGTCAACCGAAGCAGTCAAATTCTGACTGGAGTTGTTTTACTTTTCAGCGGGCTGTTGACAGTCAACTTGATCATAGGATAGTGATCAACGAGTCGGTCAGGGAAATTTGATCGCCTCACGATATTGAGGGTCAGATATGAGCGCTCATCGGGGAGATATATATTTCAATCGGACACCTCTTTCCACTCTCGTTGAAAGTCTCAGAAAGTCGACAAACGGAACATTATAGAACTTACAGTAACCTAAAAAAAAGGTCCAAAAAGAAAGCGAAAAAATAACTTAATGTATCTTCATGGTCACAAGTTAGAAAATTGAGTGTTGACAACGTTGGGCCAAGCTTCAACGGGTTGACGGGTCGATCACCCGCACATCCTACTGTGACCTCGCTTTCCGCAGTCTAGACAGACAGACCCACAGCTCAACACAACCAACACAACACTAAAGCGAGGCTAGGAAAAAAATTCCATGATTTCTAGGGATAAAATTGAAGGCGCTTTTCGGTGAATCAACGCTGAGTCGCTCACAGATGAGATGATCATAACACAAATATGAGCCTGTCATTGCGGATTGAATAGTATCCAGTGCCTCAATTTTAGAGAGCCGTGAAGGGTTCAACAGTCAGCCAAGGTTTCTTGACCGACTCAGCTTCCTGTTCTTCAACACGGCTCTTGCTCGTCTCTCGTGCTGAGCATTGAAGGTATCAAAAAGGTCGGTGCAAATAGTCGCTGTAAAAAGAAGCCACGGGTTTCAACAGGCCTCAATTAAGAGAGGTGTCCATCAACGCTTTCTACCAAGCAGAGCACTTGCGCAACAGAAGGAGCCAAGAAGCCTATAAATACGTCCTCTACCCCCGGCAATTTGCTCTACAATTTAATCATTTGACTACGCAAAATCGAGCAAGCTTTGTGCCCGAGGCATTTGATAAGTTCTTTCTCTTTGACCCAGTACTAAAATCCGCTGTACTGGCTTTATAGAATACATCATGGACCAGCAAGCCAGACGGCGCATGTGAGGGATGTATCTCCACCAGATGCACTGCCATTCACGCCCGCCGATCAAAGATACGAGTTTTGGGTTAGCTGGTCAAAGTGTTTATCCAAAGATGTCTCCGCTATAGCAGTCGACTGAGCTGATCTATCGTACTGTCTCTGTGTGTGTTCACAAGAGAAAGCGCGAATATCCACGTCGCAGGTATATGAACCTTAGCCTGACAAGTCTGAATTCCACTGATTTTGAAAATGATGCGATTTTCAATAGAACCGAGGACATTCGACCACAGTGCAAGAGCGCAAGAGCCACAGCTCTTTGCCGTCTCTTTGTACCTAGTCTTGGCCACCAGAACATGTGAGTCATGGATCAGGCTACTAGCGTCCAATGGGTGATCCTTGTTTTCCTTGGAGGGCAGGTAGTAAAGTTTTTCCTAGCCTACATATTCAAAAGACACCGAGGCGCGCTGATTTTCCTGTCTGTCTTCATGACAGGTAAGCCGTACCTCCGCAGACGGCCATTTCAAGTCCGCTGCAAGGAGAAGGTGAGGCAAAAACCTGTTATTGATAGCTTACCAATATAACACTGGTCATCTTAGGTAGGAATAGAGGGGGCAAGATGACCTTTTTACCCCGAGGCATAGCCAAACCAACGAGAGCTCAAGACCCAAGAATCACCGATGAATAGATATTGATCCACATTGGCTGGAAATATAGTTTGTAGTTATTGGGGAATACTCGGTAATGTTGATTGTATGCTCGTCCAAAGCTTTCCAAAGCTTTCAATAAATTGCTTGTCTTTGTGGCAAAGCTAACTTCATTCTCCCGATCGCTATAGGGTGAAGGCATTCCAATGTAGAGTAGGTTCGGGTGACTTGCAATCGCCGCCTGAAGCGATGACTACGTGAGGAATAGAGTCCATCACATCAAGATATTCGATTGAGCCAACGAATCGTAATGTTTGAGCGGCACCTCATCACATGCTTCTACACCAATTAGGTCTGGTCTTGGGCGTATCTATTGCATGACCATAATGGAAAAGGGAATCTGTTGATTGCGTTCGACCAGCTCAATCAGACTGGGGGTTGTAAGCCAACTTCACCAAAAGATGGGACAAAAAGTGACACGGAGTTGAAACAATGCAAATCGATACATCTGTCATGTGGGTGCAACACTCACGACACTCGCAACACTCACACTAACACTCACATCAAGCGCCCGACCGATCACCAAAACGGTCACCTTCCACCACCCACACCAACCAGAACACTCACCACAACTAGACCTAGGAATAGTTCGGGCCAGGTCCTAAATTCCGGGACCGGGACCGCTAAGAGGACCGCTAAAAGGCCCGCCAAGAGGGATAAAAGGTGTATAAATTATGATTTATAAGTGAATTATTTCCTAATTAGGACAATCTATGATTATTTATACCTAGAACTTTTCTTGGCGGTCCCTGGAGCTCAAGGTTAAGGCCCGCCAAGCCTTGGTTTTGACGGACACACTACTCTTCACAACACTTGCGATTCACAAAAACATTCACATTTAGGACTGCTCTACACCTTAATAGCGGATGTCGCATTCTGTTGGGCGGAGGGGCTCTATCGGACCGCAAACTATCAAGGTGGAAATATTGGTAATATTTGGCTCTTGTCAAGGTTTGGCCAGACCCGCCTCAATCTAAATCTGGCCTAGCACATCCAGGACTGGCGAATGGAACAACGCTATCAGTAAGGGTCCATTATCTTCTGGTAGACCAAACTCCACTCCCCGCCCGATTAACCTGGTGACAGCTTGAGCACATGTATCAATCCATTAGAAACTAGTCTTAGGAAAGGATATGGCGAAGCAAATGTCGAAGAACAACATTATCCTCCCCTTTTTCAGGACCTCTACAGGAATAGAACTTATTCGTGAGCTTAGTATATTGACTCAGCTCCCCAATATTCTTAAACCGGTGAACCGGCCTATCTCCCAGCCCCATACGAGCCCAATGAATCAAATCAACAATATTGACATATACATTTCGGATAGCCTAAATAGAACGCAGACGACGTCAGCCACCAGTCCATGTCCCATTCCATAAAGTCAAACCCCACAGGTAAGAAGATAGGGAAATAATTTTTACATACCACTCTAGCAGCATTACAAGTCCTAGGCAATGGTTCAATCCCAACAGCCCGACAAAGAGAATGCCAGGAAGCAAGATCGCTCTCCGACCCAAACCAGAGTCGGACTTCATCTTCCAGTGAATTTTGATACTCCCTGCGTGCTGTTCGAGCTTCCGGGTCGTTTCTATCCCAGTCGTAGAAGTCCACGAGCTTTGCGTATGATACGGACGGTGGAAGTGTGGGGTCGTATTTGAAGGATGTATAGTATGCGAAAAAGATGTCTAGTGGTGTGGGGTTTGAACGATATCCTTGTAAAGGGACACCGTGACGTTCTCCAGCGTGAGCTTTCGAGCTTTGTATATGTGCATCTAGCGCATCTTGACTGACGAATGATCGATCGCATGGATCACATTCGAAAGTTGGGGTATGAGCCGACGAAGACTGAAGATGCCGATCAAGAGCGCTCTGGTCATTGAAGAGGCGTGTACAAGATTTGCATTCAAAGTTTGGAGTATGCGCTTGTAAATTCTGGAGATTTTCTTCTAATTCTTTTCGTGTAAGGTAGACTAAACTGTAAAGTTTGTGTGCGAATGAGGTGGCATTCAGAGGTGAGTACTGGAGATGGTCGTTAAGGAAGTTCTGGCTAACAAAAGTTGTCGAGCAGATATCGCACTTGAACTTGGATGTGTTGCGCGTGGGTGCACTGTGAGGAGGGGAGGTTCGGATGTGTTCTTCAAGAGCATCAATGTCGAGGAGCCAGATCGAACATAGGCCACAGTAGAACTTTATAGCATGGGCTGGTGAGTCTTTTATGTGTTGGTCAAGGGAGGTCTCGGATCTGAACGATCGATTGCACGAGGAACAGAATGCCATAATGAGTAGACCAGACTAGTAGCGAGATGGTTGAATGCGTGGAATTGAATAGTGTCGGTTAAAGTGGAGAGGAATCTTACTAGCGTTATTTGTTTCATTCAACACCCACTGCTTCCTGATTCCCAAGGCATCAACTGCTGAATCAGCTTGATAGCGCCCGTTTATTTTGCTATCAGGATTATATAGAAATACACATCTCAAGTACTGTGCAATGGCCTCATTGGTTAATTCTAGTACTAGTCCATACTGCATCTCTCGGAACCGATAGAATTCCCAGCCCGGTATGTACAGTACCATAAACCAATCCTAATCCTGACCGTGACAGTAACGAGGCGAGGATCGTTCTGGAAGGCCTGAACCCGTTTGCATTTCTCAAGGTCGGATTGCCAGGCAATGAAATTCTTAGTGGCAGCAACATGCCTGGACAAGCTCCCGCGAAGGCAGTAGGTAAATATTTTCCTTCGTCTGCGGGGCGATCTTGCGCTCGGCTGGGGACACGAGCTCGAAGAGAGTCCCCTCTCGTGTTGAGACCTTACTTGGCTTGCCCAGAGATCTCAAGGATCAATGTTTAATTATCTGTGAGTTTCATTGGTTTCCCGTTTCTTCTCTCCTCCTTGCTTCTCCCTCATTCCTCCCACCGTCCCACCTGCGTCACTCGGATTTTCTCGGCTCTCGTTTTCTTGATGCGATCGAGTCCAAACTAGTCTCAGACATCGAGATCTCTGGCGGCACGTAATTCCTTATTTTCTTTCGCGAGTAAGATGGCACCTTGCATTGTAAGGCGGAAGCCTTTTATAAGCTGGTTTAATGCACGATCCGATGGGCTTAGTGGAACTTCGAGATCTTGTTCGAAGTAAAGCTTTGATTGATGAAGCCTGTCGACGTAGTTCTTTCTCCGTAGAATGTGTTTTTGGGGTAAGATTTCGGCTTGATTCACTACCCCTGCTAGGGGGGGGGGTAGGTGTTCGAAGCCAGATATCAAGCTTTGAAATCACTCCATCGGGTGCAAAAGGCACTAAACCGGCAGCTCCGAAGCTATTTCTAATTGTTTCCGATTTGAAGGCTTCAATTCGTGCTTCTAGGTATGCCGGAAGGAAATCATCTTTATCGATATGATTTCCTACTCCGCATTTTTGTTTCAACTAGCCGGCTATAGGACTTTTTTAACACCGCGAAATAGCTAATATTAAAAGGCTGTAAAAGATGGGATGAATGTAGAGGCATACAGATTAGTATAATACCATTTTACTCACAAATTTCATCAAATTTCGAGGTTAAATAACCACCGTGTCTATCGAGTATTAAAAGTCGATACCTCCCCTTCGGAAGTAAAGAAGTCGAAGGAATAAAGAGTTTTTAAAGCTATTGAATTCCAATTTCATCGGAGGTCTAACTATTCGGACTAAGTTTAAATCGCCAATCATCCGGAAGGCCATAGGTCCAAGATTCAATAAAGACTTTACCTTTCAAAATCATATATAGAGTAAGTACCTAACCGGAAGCATTCGTACACTCGATTACCGTTATCTACTTATGATTTCTAGGTTATAAAACCGGTCGCCGACTGTAGTATTTACTCCTTATAATAACCTTCGCGGTTACTATTATCCTATCGCGAAATCGGTCTTATCAAAGTTATAAATATTATTAGGGTCGATCCTAAATTGAAGGATGGTTTTTTAAATAAGTTTAAAACACTCCCCAATGATTTTCGGGTCTTTATATTTCGCACATTCGTAGTTATACCGTTTCGAGAATTAGGAGGAAAGAAGAGGGTACCGTTTTATAAATTTTATAACCTAATTTTCGCCGACTAAAATAACCGGGGTGGTTCCACGTTATTAAAGAAGAAGATCCGCCATTTCTCGAACGGTAGAGGGCCGGGGGGCTGCTCCACGAGAATCCATAGAGAGTATCTATTTTTAAAGAGATTCCTCTTCAATTCTAGTTATATTAGATGAATTAGCGCGAGAAATCGTGTGGTGTTGGTAGCCGCGTAGTCGGTCTTGGAGGGTTGAACGTGGTATGTTAAAACGGCGCGCCACTTCACGAATTAAAGAGATTTCTTGATTCTTAAAAGCCTCGGTAGCTAATAAGATTCTACCCTCTTGCTCTACTAAATTTTTAGAGCTTCGGGAGTGAATTGGTGGCATGGTGGGTGGTTGAATTGACTAAGTGCTAATTCATGGACGCGTTTTGGGTGGTGTGGCCGGCTCGGTAGTGAAATACGTTACTGTTGTGATGGTAAAACTCAGTATACTCAGTATTTAGTCACCTGCGTCTGCATAGTCTCTTATATATAAGAGACACCAAGGTCTGATGGAAACGGTACTACCCAGGCCTTTGACTTTCTCCTGTGGGCAAAATGGATGCCCCAAACCGCTCGACAGGCCAGGAAAATGAAGGAGATAAGCAGCCCAGTGAATTGCCAATTCTTAATGCCCGTTTTAAGAAAAAGATATAAATATAAGGCGGTCAGAATTTACTATGGGCAGAATCCCACTCTGGCGCAGGCGGCTATAGACTGCACGACCCCTGAGCTTTGTCCTCAACAAGACAATATGGGCTTTTCACTACCGCCAGAGTTGACATCCATTATTTTGGAGTACATTTCCCACGACGACCTCCATTTAGCCAAATATGCAACAATCAGTCGCGACTGGCAGGCGATCATCGAGAGCAAAACATTTTCATCCCTCAAAATCAACACCCCCAAGCGGTTAGCAGAATTCAATGAGCTATCATGGGACCGAAGAAGGAGCTATGTTCGAAAGGTCGATTTGATTATTCAACTGGAGTCATACTATGATGATGACGACGCGTTCACGCGCTACGAAAATGAAGGGGAGATGCAACGAAACAACAAGATTTTCACCACATCGATCCACTCACTTTTCATTACTCTGGCCAAATGGCCAGCAAAAGAAGAAGCCGAATTTAGTCTTTCGATTGAGGCCCGGTCCCCCGATGATCTTCTAGGTCAAACCCCTGAGGCAAAGAGGGAGCGGGAAAAGCGGATAGAAGAATCTTACCCAAGCAATGATTTCCAGGATAAGAGATTCGAAAGATCATACCTTCAATTCAATGAGGAGGTCGTTGGTATCAAATGCCCGGCCGTCCCCACAATCACTTCCCTTGAAATCATGGGAGCGATAAATAGAAGGAAAATTGAACCAGCTTCTTGTTCTTTCATCGTGTCGAAGTTTCCTCGACTATACCGCCTAGTGCTTTATTTGAATGATTCTTGCAAATGGGACCCAGAACTGAGAAAACGCCATAGAAACGGTATACTACATAACAATGCCCGGTAGGGTATGTGCTAATCGGAAATCTAGATTTCGCGGATTCTATTCTACTATGGCCTGCCAGTATACGGCAGCTCCACCTTGACTTCTGCTATATGGCCCCTTTCGATCAAAACTATTCCCCAGCGGCTTCAACTGTAAAAGGAAAAACAGACCCGCTAAGCTCGAGATTACGGGAGTTCTCGCAACAATTGAAAGAAATGGGCGGGGCCCAATGTGTGCTTGGAAAAGAAGTATTCTGGCCCACAGATGAACAGAATCACAATCTCCAGCTTCCCTTTTGGCCCCATTTTACCGATCTGTGGTTGGGATACGAGCCGGTGACTCCAAGTGGAAACTGGATGTTCGCAAAGGAAGAACCTCAAGAATCTAAAGATGAGGATGATTATGACTCGAGTGACCCAGGCTCAGACTATAATGAGATGGATGACACCGATAAAGATTGGATTGCCCCGGAGGACCGCATGGGCAAAATATTCCGAACTAAGCCCATTCACGAGTTGTTCAATGCGTATTATCTCTCAGCTGCCAATGCCGCTCTTTGCATGCCCAAGCTGGATAATATGTTTTTGGAGGTGACGAACGGCTGGAATCGACACGAGTTTTGGTACAGGGTGAGGGATGGAGTAGCGAATGCGACCTGGTCTAGTGGTGATGATCCGAAAGCATTCGAGCCAAGCGATGAAGTCTTACAACTCTGGAAACAGGTTGCTTCCGCGCGTACTGGAGGTGATCTTGGAGTTGAATTTGACCTTCTCTGAGGTAGAAGTTTCATTCGATCCTGCAAAGCGTTTACACCGACATCAATATCTGCAAGTCACTTTAGGAACAAAGTGGCTCTATAATGAGGATGAATGGTGGCAATCTGTGCTTAATCCCTTGACTTCTTCCCGATGATCATGCTGCAATTGACAACCCACAAAGAGCCTGCGCTGTAACCCGGTACCATTCACAAATCAATAAGAATATGGAGTGAACGCTATATATACTTTCAATCTGGCTTGTATTGTATATAATATTATTATCTTACAAGAAAGAATTCATATTCGAATATTGCCAGTATCCCAAACTTAAGCTATTGCGCCAGTACAATAAGGTAAATCTAAGACGAGACACCGATGCAGTAAGCTTCGTTCAACCAGAAACTGTTTTCAAAGAACATTATTAGTATTCCACCCAAGTGAACCAGAAGGGTTCAACAACTTACTTTTCGCAAACATTGTTCAAAGCCGGATTCCAGGTATCTATGCGAATAGTTAATGTCGAGCTTCAACATTATTCCGTAAATGGAGTCTACTCACAAAGCTGATCAACTGTGATATTGTTACGAGAAGCGAACACTTCGCATCCATCACCGTGCTGAGCCACATCGTATGCGTTGCATTCAGAGGGAATTCCTGCCTGGGTTGGTGCTAGTGGCGTCATAGTTGCTCGGGTAGAGGTAGTCACCGCAGTAGAGTGGGTCGTTATAGCAGTGGTGGGGGCTTTCACACAGTATGCTTCATCTACCCAAAGGCCGGCGCAGTTTTCTGTGATTCTGTGTGAGTACAAGGTACTTATGTAGTCGGCAGGGATAGAGGATGATTCGAGAATATTTACCTCCGACAGCCGGATTCCATGCGTTGAACTGGGCAAGTATGATGCTATATGCTGATGCAATCGCCGTGCAAGAGTCGTTTGTCTGAGCCACGTACCACTCCAGGCAATGGACAACAATGCCAGACTGCGTCGGGGCAGGGGGGGCCCCGGTGGAAGAAGTTGCGGAAGTGCTAGATGAAGTGGTGCTCATGTTATAGCCGACGGTAGACCAGCCATGTCCCATTACACAATACTAGACATATTCGTATAAGCTCTGTTTCGGTTTGACGGCCATGACGTTGTTTCTTACCGGGGTATTCATCCAAAGGTTAGTGCAATCAGACCCTAAAAATATGTAAGAAGCAAAGAAGACACAACCTTCACTGATGCAACATACCAACACTTGGATTCCATTCATACAGTGACGTGAAAGGAATGTCGTATGACCGGCAAATTGAGTCACAGTCATCGCCTGTAGTCAGGTCCTCCTGATTTAGTATTTTATCGCTGACTCGTGGGTCGACGTGGACTGACCGTCTACAGTTTCATACCAATCGAGACATTCAGTTGTAGAATTAGCCGGGGCATCAGTCGGAACTGAAGCCCAAACCATCGTGGAGGTTGAGGCCACTGGATAGAAGAAGAATATAAGTATGGTGTTTGACTCTTTTCGTTGCAAAGAAAAAGACTCACAAGTTTGGTTGTAGAATGAACCACAGTATCGTGTCTCATTTGTCAGCTTGCAATTATAAATTGTGTAGTTCTGCCCGTTCAAGATACTAGGGTTCCATAGCAGGAAGTTTGTCACACTGACACCAAATATGGACGCCGCTTCCCAACATCCAAGCGCACCCATGTTGTTATTGAAAGTGGCAAAACATCCGTCCAAAGAGCCCGAGGCCAGTGGATATGATGAAGTTGTCGTAGTTAGGTTGTAAACGGGCCGAGTCGCCGTGGGAAGATTGGCCCAAGTTATGGCTGGATCAGCTGTGAGGCTTGTGTACTTGGTTGTGGTTGTGGCATATCCGGAGTAGGTGGCTATATCACCGACAGCCTGTACACAATAGGAGTAGTCTACGGAACGGAAATGAGCCCATCCAGAAACACAAGAGGAAGGAAACTAGGGAACACTTACCGAGAAAGAGGTTTGTGCAGTTCGCGTTGAGTTCAGGGTTGAGGAACTCAAAGTCATCCAGACTAATCCCATTCTGGACAGTGATCGAGGCGCAATTGTCTAGATCATTAGTAATGCTCATAGTGAAGCGCAAGATAACGCACCATTATTCCCAACACTATACCATTTCGCACACTTGGTATTAGATCCATCGACGGCGTTGGTAGGAATGGAAACAGCAGTTGCAGTGGTAGAAGCTTCGAAAGATGTACTCGGCTTAACATATCCCACATTATTGCCCACACAAATCACATGGTCAATCTTGGTGGGCCAATTAGCACAGACAGGATCGATTGTTGGATTCCACGAAAGAAGCTGTGTGAGCGTAATCTTATGAGCACGTGAAACACTGATGCAGGTATCATTTCGTCGGACCAGGTAGGGCTGACAAGTTGCCTGCACACACAGGCTCGTAAGGTTTCCTGGCCAATTTGTACAGCCACCAAGTAGTCCATTGACCATTAAAAGCTGATCAGTTGCAACCGAGTTTGCCTCTGCAAATTCATCACAAGTGCTGCTAGTTGGAACAGGCATATATGATCCTGTGTATGTTAAAGTTGTAGAAGTGTTGCTGACCATAGTTCTTTTGATCAAGGAAATATTTAGTCAGTGAAGCCTTACTCTATCAAGGAGGGATGCATACTTGGAATTACTGAGAAATACGGGCGTAGGCTCAGCTAACGGCGGTACTGTGACACCACACGAAGATGCAGAGGAGAGGTATTGGCTAGCAAGCCGGTCAATCCACCCCACTGCATTATCGAGCTGTGCTCTCATAATTCCCAGACCGCAATTCCCGCATGGATCGCTTTCGGGCTCACCGGTGGTGCCGTTCATAGGCGAAAGGTAACAAAATGTAGGAGGGTTGGCGCTGTATATTCATAAGCAAAGATATATCTTGCAATTGGAGGCAACCAACGCACTCATCTTGCATGTAGGTTACATTGTAGTTAACAAAAAAAGGATCAACCAGCCCGATTGGCTTGATCGAGATTCCTTTAATATTATAGATATCATCCTTGACTCCAGTTCCATAGACATATGATGGGACTACAGTGTAGTGATGCAATTGAAGAGGGAGAGAGTTGTCAATTCCTAAAGGGCAGAATGCCCAACTATCTAGTTATGGGGGTTGGTGCCTGCCGCACCGGGCTGATGGTCAGGTGACCACCATGTCCAACACACCCCCCCCAGGCATAATCCCGAGGAATGCACTCGTCTGTTTATTCGTTGTTTTTTTTTTTTTTTTTTTTTTGGGGTTTTTTTTTTTTGG